CGCGCGGGCACACATCGTGTCCGGCCATTACGGCTGATTAATATAATTCGCTGGCCGGCGGCGATGACAGTCGAGCCATAAAATGCCGAAATGATGACCAACACTAACGACTGCCGACACGAACGGCTGCACTTATATATACGGCGACGGCGCGCTGCTCTCCTCAGAGTTGGGGGGGGGGGGGGCACGTCCCACCAGATACGGTCACCGTTCGGGAGCTGCTCGGCCGAGCACGCGGAACGGTAGAATGCACCTGGGACTGCCGAAGAGAGCGCAGAGTCGGCCAGCAGTGTGCTCTGCCGGGATACTACCGGCCCGATGAGCCGCATCCCGTTTACAAAAGATAATGTGTGCATTGATATAGGTAGAAGCTCGAAACGGTGATGATATAATTTACACATCAGTCAAGCTGATGTTGTTATATACTTCCTTCCACTGGCTGTAAAGGTCGTGGAAAACGAAAATAGGTATGGTTTCCCGTGTCTAACAATATTTAAGCCGGAGCCCCAAAAACTGAAATCGAAGAATTACAAAGAGAATGAAGAAGCCCGAAAATAATATTATCCTTTATTGGGACACAAAATAGCGAAGATTTAAAAAAAAAAACATCGATTTCTCCCCTCCTGCGTGTCTTCTCCAGTGGTTCGCCACCTCAGGCAGCGGTGGTGCCCAGTATTGTGAAAACCACAGACAGCGGTACGGGCGGGTCTGACGCGACCCGTCCATGCACCACCCTCCCCCATCGGTCGCTCGTCAGGCCTTGTTCCTACAGCGGCCCACCTGTGTGTTCTGATGGACGAGCCTTGTTTCGGGGCGCGTCGGACGCCGTTCGGCCGGCCCGCGCGCCTTTCACCAGCTCTCGGCTCGCCGTTTTCGAGCCTCTCCAACATTCTCCGACGGCGCTTGGGCCGGCCGTTTAGCCGAGATCGTGAGATGCAATCACGTTGATGGTCGTACTGCACCGGAATCTTCTCTCATCGGCGTGGCCGAGCGCGGCGGCTTTTTAATCATGCCACCATCTCGGTCGTGTGATGGTCGGCCGGCGAATTATCCGCGCCATCGTTAATTGCAGGTCGGCAAACAGTCATAGGTCACCGCTGGCCAGCCAGTTAGTATTATCCGCAGACGGGGACGCGGGCCGTTAGCGGGCGAGAGGGGCCGACCGCGCCGCTATACGGGCTGAGATATGTGAGGGGCGAGCGGAGAGCGACGGGACCGACGCCGCTCGACACGACGGGTCCAGTTGACCCGGGACACGGCGCGGTACGGACCGGATCAGAGCCCAACCGGGAATCACCACATTCTGCTGAGGTACGACTGAATCGAGCGGTACAGCGAACCGCGTTGCCAGGGAGACACAGCTAATAGAGCGGGCGGTCAGATATGCATAGAGGAGCCGCTGAGCGATAGGAGTTTTGGGCTGGCAAGGTATTGGTCCACGCTTTTGAAGAAACCATCATGGCATCAGAACAGAACGGGCGGCAGAACGTCCGATTTGTTAACTATCACTGGACAAATGTATTCCACGCACCGTTCGTCTTCCGTTCAATCTGTCATATTTTTCCACGCGAGTAGCGGTGGCCATGTCTGCATCACCTCCTCGCGTTAGCCACTCCTAAGTAGATAACTCAGAGCCGCGGCAGCGTAGATGACAGCGGCGCCCCTCGCATTCCTCCCGCTAACTGCCGCCTGTCTCCCAGTGAAACCCAGCCTCGGGCGCGGCGCTACGCGCAATGTAGCTCGTTAGGCGCGGCGAAATCGTTCGCAATTGCCGCACATTTCATACACAGAACCTCGGTCGGCGGGCCAGAGAGCCTCCGCGCCGTCAGAGACTGGCAATTTTCTTTGCACGGGCAAAATGACAGCAGCGATGGCGGCGTCGGGGAGGCACGTTTGAAATGTGAACGCTGAAGGAAGTGTGCTATCACGTCCGGGAGGTTAGGTAAAAATGACCAGATTGCTGTCTTCTGGCGTACAAAGCCGTAATTTGGCGCTGCGCGAGGAAGGATAAAATACGTCAACGTGACGGACGGGGTGCGGCGGCAAAGCTGACTATGTGTTGGTGTTTGAAAGAGATGATGGTGCAAGAGAAATGCAAAAAGTTCCGACATGAAAGATCGGTACGGCACCAGCAAGTAAGCACTGAAAGTACCTTGGTAAATACCTTATACCTACACCTGTTCCGAGCCAAAGCATTATAATAGGTATTTAATCGAAATTTACGCACAATTTTTAGGTAAAACGAAATACACGCCACATATATGACATTGAAGTTTCGTTGTCATCGTAGTTGTTTGGACCCATGGGGGCACTACTCCGCAGGGCATATGCGGACGATCGAAACAGGGGAGAGCCCAACCATCTGGATCTGCAGACCTGTCGGCTGGCACAGCGCATCTCGCTCCTCCCTGAGGGGGCCGATACACCGCCCGAGTGACAGACTGACGGACTGTCACCCCCCCCCCCCTCCTGACCGACCGCGCCGGTCCCAACTGACCATTTTTTGCCTGCGGCGTCGTCCGGTGATAGGCGTTCACAATGGTGACCGGTCAGGCTCCGAAACAAACGATACTGGCCGCGCACAATACGTTCCGCTGACCATTGTCACTCCGTGGTCAGTCGGTGGGGTGGGTAAAAACGCCCCGGACAACAGCGGAACTGACCACTGATCGACACGGCGCCGTACTGACAACTGACCACCGACCTGTCGTGACCTCCAGCCATTGACTGACTTGTGGCCGCCGGCAGTGACCACCACTGACCTTTCATGACCTCCAGTCATTGACTGTGTCCTGTGGCCGCCGGCAGTGACCGTGGATGACCATTCTGACCTCCAGCCGGCACTGACCTCTGACTGCCGACAGTGACCAACACTGAGTGACCTATAACTGACTTGCACGCGGTGCCGCCGTGAGTGACCTTAACCCGGCACCGCCTGGGCTATTTCCGTACCCACGACAGCCTGGGGGGGGGGGGGGTCGGATCCGACCCCCCCTGTTATCTCGAGAACCAATGGTCGTATCGAGCCCCGCGAGGCGGCGTTCGAAAGGTCTCTACGAGACCTTCCCAAAGCACTCTTAAGATTTTAAGATTGAGGTCAACTTTCGGGTCAAGGTCAGGTCAAAGGTCAAATTCAGGGGTTTTGCATGATTAGGCTTACGGACAGCGGAATCGATAGCTGCTGCTCGAAACTCACCAAAAATGACCTCAAAGGCCTAGTGAAGGTACCATGTGCGTATAGGGGTCATACTAAGTACGGGTCAAGGTCAGGTCAGGTCACGAAAGGTCACGGTTTTCAATTTCTGCTACATGGGCGTGCGACACATGTTTTATGGCTTATTTTTCACGCCGAATCCGATGGTAATGATTATATGTGACCCCAAGTCACTGTGCTGGTGATAAGTGTGCATTGAAAGCATAAAAAATCGTTTATACCTACTATACGAGGGCTGAGAAAAAAGGTCAATTTTTCAACTTTTTATTTTTGACATAAAAATGCACTTTTCTAGACGAGCTTTGTCCAAGGAATCTAGTGGTGCCATTTGTTTTCACATGCGATGTTCAGAAGTGCCTCTAATTCACGAAAATGCTTATGACGTCACCATGCCCTATGCATGTTGGAGCTATTTTTTTACAATTTGGGGGTCAAAAATCAAGATAGAAAGTTGAAATTTGGGGCATCTAATGTTCTAATAGAGCTCTACAACATATACTCCGTTTTTTTGGAAATCCCTAAAATTTTGGATTTAATTAGCTGTTTTCCAAAAAATATAGTTTTTTGAATTTTTAGGGGTGAAAAACGCATTTTATGGAAAATCCGAGATAGCCATTTTAAAGAACTCGTTGAGCTGCGTCTTTTCATGTCCTTAATTTGCAATTTGCTTTAAACCCTGATTTTTGGCGATTTTTTAAACATTTACCACTTTTTGACTAAAAACGCCATGTAGTTACATCACTAAAATCGATATATCTCAAAATTTTTTGGAATTTTTTCTTAAAAATTGCACAGGAGACGTCAAATTGATAGGGGAGAAGGTATGCCAAGTTTCAAGTAGCTAGCGAAAGTGGTTCATGAGTTATTCAAGAAAAACGGAGGGGGGGGGGTCGGATCCGACCCCCCCCCCCAGGCGGTCGCGGGTTAACTCACCTGTCTCCAAGGTCTCCAACAAGGTCTCCACCTCCAACAGCCGGTAGTGACCACTGACCTGTCGCTGAGCTGCGGTGACCTCGAAGCGCCGACGAGATTACGCACTCAAGACCGTAAAAAACTACGTGTAGTATCTACGCATCGCAGCGGCCTAACGCCTTTCAGGTCAGGCTCAGGTCACGCTAAATCGACCGACTTGTTAATCAACAATGCTGCCATGCTGCTTCCAATTTTGGCGATAAAGGGAAATTTCACGTTTTTTTTCTTTTTTGATGAACTATGATTGTAGCCTAACAATCGTCTTCCAAGGTTAAACATGTGTATGAATTTTCCGAAAAAGATACACGTAGGTGAAAAATCGGGTCTGGATTGGCCAAAGGCATGGTTGCTCCTCTTACCCCTGTGGTCGCCAGTGAGGGTAACTCGCGCAAGACCGGCTATCATACAATGTACTTATACATATGTAGGCATGCCGTATGTACTCAGCGGTTAGGTATGAGCCCGTCGGGCGTGATGGTTGTGTTTCCGTCCCGATTTCCCGCGATGCCCAGCCGGGAACAGTGCAGTGTAATGTAACGTGTAAGAGTGTAACGTGATAGCATGCCTAACCGATGTTCGGCAAGTTCGGCAATTTCACCGCCCAGCTAACTAATTTAAAATTCGGTCGATATTCGGGTCATCTGCGGTGAATATTCTCCAGTTCTGGAGGTTGCGGCTACCCGTGTTTATTCATTTTCTCTGGTTTGTTACTAACACCGGCCACCGCACGTAAGAACGTAAATAGAGCAGCATCCCTCCTTCATTCCTTCCATCCTTCCGATCTCCACCCACCCTCCACATCTAAAAAAGATCGTCCGATTTTCAGCGGTGTGTATTTAAAGTTACCAAGAACCTACACTGCGGCAGAGGCCGCACACCGGCTTACGTCGTCTATAAACATATAAAGACATATTACACAGTTTCATCCCGCGGCCGGCAACAGAAGCAATCCGTCGCTGACCCAACATAATTAATATTCATACGATTCCCGTATACAATGATGGCGCCCACTTCGTTGAACCTTCCTGATTCGCGCCTGCCCAAGGTGCGCCGACCAGTCGAAATCGCTCCACACACCAACAAATAGCCGGGATATGCTTTGTACGAATTTCAGCGATCGGTTTCGTCGATGAGACTACGAATTGATTGCGCGTGCCGCGTGCGACCCGTCGGTCATGGCAGTAGTTTTCGGACGGGACTGCTGTCTCTCTCTCGAAGCGGGGGTCTCTCTGCACTACACGCAGGCCGTCGCTGCCGTGGGGCGCCGCCCTCGAAGCGTTAGACAGAAGCCGGCGCCGCGCCCGCGTCCCCGACACCAAACCAAGCGCTGCGAAGTACTTACAAGCGGCGCGGCGGCGCCCACGGCGGCACGCCGCTCCCGTAAGGCACACTCGCGAGTAGTCACTGACGGCGGCACACACGGCAGACAGACAGACAGACGGGGCGTGGACGGTTGGTGCAGCGCGCGGCCGAGCTCCCTTATTCTATCGGCGCGCGGCCAGCGGTGGACGGGCCGAGCCGTGGGTCTCCCTCCTCTTCAAGGACCGGCCGCGGCCGAGACTCGTCTTAACCTATCGCTCATTATCGGCTACGCCTTACAGTTAGTCTATACAGCGGTCTGGGCGGCCGGCGCGCGGACGGCGGTGGCCGCGGCCCAGCGGCCGGCCTCCAGGACCGCGGGTCTCGGGACGATGGTACGTCGATCGGTGAGGGTCCGCCACTGCTGGCGGAGGCTGGTGTAGCCCCCGAGGGGCACACAGGTCACGTTCGGGTCAGGTCAATCTGCTGTGGCACTTGGTCGCCTTCCGTAGGCAAAAGGCTTTCTAAACGATACATTCCGCTCACAAGTACGCATTCCAGAACACTTACACACCATGCAACAAAAGTGATTCACTAAAAGCACAGATCCAATCAACAGAGGCATGACAAACATGGAAAAGGACCGAAAAGCGCATCCATATCTCGTCATCACATCATCCATGATCTCGTCAACCATCATTATCAACATTTCGTTTCACAACCCGCTAAAAACACCCACAAATTGACACACCCCGACCCTTTCCCCTTGGATTTGACACTGGTCATTTCACTGCGCTGGTCCATCCCCGGGGCCGAGCGACGGACGTACATTGTACGTACACCTCTGTTCTGTCGGTATCTTCAGGTCCAGGTCGCCGGTCGACCACCCAAAACCCTCCGGCCGCTGCGGGCCACAGTCTCTGACTAGCACCAAAACTCGGCCTGTCGGCCGCCCGCGCCGGGGCCACCCCTCGGGGGCGGCTCAGATGGGCGGCGGGCCGCGCATATAGCGCAGCTGGGGCGTCAGCGACATGCTCAGGTTGTTGAGGTTATCACAGCAGTGCGGCTCCAGCAGGCAGGCCACGCAGAAGCAGAGCATCAGCGCCAGCTGGAAGGGCAGCGCGGCGCGTAACACCCGCCACAGCCAGCCGCGCCGGCCGCCGCCCGAGCGGGCCGTACCGGCGGCCGACAGCTCCCGGCGGGACGCCGAGTAGCTCTTCCTCCTGCAACAGGGAGAGAGGGGACCGGTCAGAGGAGGAGCCGACACCGACACGCCCCCGGGGCCCGACCAAAACAACTCGGTCACTGTCCGGTTAGCCGCCTCGGTTACACTCCTCGATAGGCGAGAGCAGCCGAGATAAACCGCGCCATTAACCATGCGCAAAAAAACCTAATTACCAAGATGAAAAGACACAAAAATAATCGGAGACAATTATTTGCTGACGGCACGGCGGTGTGCGCGCGGGACCCGCCTGTGTGGACCGGCCGGGGGCCGGCCACGGCACATAGCTCATCGGGCAACATGATTTACGCGCACACACGCTCATGAAGTAAATAAAAACTAGTAAATAACGCATAAATTATCCCGGTTTAGCGTTCCTTTGGGCTGAAAATTATGCATTGCAATCGGCCACCCGCGGAGCGCTGTCGCAGCTCGGAAATTTACGTCCCGGCGACGCCGGCTTATCCATTCGGCGACTTTTTATCGCAGCCCGCGTCGAGCATCCGTTTTTTAAACGATTTATGGCCGGACACTCCCTGCCCACGGGCGGCTCTGCTCTGGCCCTCCGCGAGATCGGCGCGGCCGCTCTGCCTCCTGCTCCGCCGCCGAGGCTCGCTCACAGCGAGGACGGGCAAACGACGCTCGGCCACGAAACAGTAGCGGCGGGCGGCGGCGCCCGAGGGCGGCAGTCATTAAAACGACATTTGTGTCGGGACGGGAGTGTGGCGGCCGGCCCCGGCGGCCCGGCGGCGAAGGGTTGAGCCGCAGCACGCGCCGCGACCGCCGGCGCCGCGCCGCGACCGCCGAACACTCTGTAAATCGTCGGCCTGCTGCCTCGGAGACATAATGGCCGGCGAGGAATGTCGTCGACGGAATATCGCCGCTCATCCGTTACCGAGCGGCGGCAGAAATTAAAATTTAACGACAATCATCCGCACAATTACGGCGGCCCAATTAACTGAGACAAGATTAAACACCCGTCTAATTACAAACAGAATTAAACGGGACGCTCGTTTGGCGAGCGCTGTTGTTTTACGGCAGTTAAAGCGCTGCTGAAGCGGTTCAGCACTTGTAGTGACGACCGAACGGTCGACAGGGGAGGCTGCTGACAGCGCGAACCGTAAATACCGAGCACTAGAGGCGATTCGGAGGAGAATGGAGTTCAGAGCAATAGGAGGCGGAACTTAACAGGAATGCGAAGAATATCAGCGAAAAACGGAGGTAAACAAAACAAAGTTGAGCAAGTGGGGCAGGTAAGGAATTATCACTACATTTGTTCTTGGAATGGCGAGTAATATAACGCGTGCCACTCGGGACCCCAGTCCCAACCACAGTGACTAAAGGTGCCTCTCCGGCCCGTAACTCCGGCCCCACCCCGGACCACCGTAACTCCGGACGCCTCCCCGGCCCGTAACTCGGGCCGCCGCTCTGGCCGACACCTCTCACCCAGCCCGGTGGCATTTAACAATTCATGCGGCGGCGGTGTCGGCGGCGGCGGCGGCTGCCGGTAGCCATCGACCGGCCGCTAATGGCACCATCTCTATTCGGCCGGCGTCACCCGTCTCTATTCGAGCGGCGGCTGATTCCGGCGGGCCGCGGCGCGCGGACGCGCTCCCGGCAGAGGTGGGAGGGTCGGGGCACGCGCCACGCCGCCCCTGGGATGGCAGCGGTGGGGTGGTGCCAGTCAGGTCAGACCGGACCGGTCGGGTCACTCAGTGACCGGTCCCCGTGACCCCGCGGTCGGTCAGAGCTCCGTGAAGGCGCGTCACCCGTCCCGGCTTCCGTCACGAGTCGGTCGCCATCCGGCGGCATTCGTGGCGCGCGCCGGCACTGGCGCACCGCGCGCCGCGCGCGAGTGCACATGACCGACCCGACTGACCAGTCACTCATCGAGCGTCAGTCGCGGTAGAGATCAAACCCACGTCCCCGCACGACCCAGCTTGACCGATCCGGATTCCGTCAACCAGGCGCCACTGCAGGTCATAAACCACAAAAGCACCCGGGGTAGCCGCCGAGACGCAATAGCATTCGCACTTTGAGGGCGTTGTAAGAAGTCGGAAACAGTCCGAGGGTACGGGGTAGCCGTCCGATCGGCTCACAGGTAATCCTCCGAGAGAGCTGGAGAGATGTTTACTTAAGCCGCTCAAACGACCTAGCCATTTCCTGTGAGCCAGCAAAAACGGATCCTTGTGCGGAAGTTGGTCTGTCAGGATTGAAGGCTATCAAAAGATGACCGCAGAGTAGTTTCAGGTGTTATCCAATTTGGAAATAGCGTCGGGCTTCAGTAAAACAAAACCAGTGATTGGCAGGGGATTGACTTGAGTTTTTCTTCACATTTCCGACAAATTTTGGAACACCAGTATGCTTAAAGATAACCATCCTTTCACCGAAACAACACTTGTCAGGGCTCAGTCAGCTTCAGTTCCCAGCTACCATCTCCCAGCCACCCATCAGCCCTCAGCCTCCAGCAACCAGAAGCCAGCAGCCAGCCCTCAGCCGCCAGCTCCCAGCCTCCGCGCCAGCCGGCCGGCCGTCGGCCACGCCGTCCACAGAGGAATGCCAATGAGTACCGATCGTCGCGGCGCTGTGAGCGGCGACGGAAGGCCGGACAAAGGCCGCCGACCAGTGGACAGACCACGGGGGGCCGCGCCGACACGGGCCGCACGCGACCAGCTACCCATGGGGCGCGCGGCGGCTCGCGACCACCTACCCATGGGGCGTGTGGCGGCCCGCGACCACCTACCCATGGGGCGCGCGGCGGACGGCCAGCGACTGGGATATCAACGCCGGTCGGAGTGGAGACAAATTGCGGAGCGTACTATTAGAGAGCGGCAGTATAAACATGTTCTTAATTAGATTCAGCGCAAACATCGATAGAGATGTTGGAACTGTATTGCGTGATTGCGATTATGAGAATGATATTGTGGGAATGCGGTGCATGCGATCGCACGGAGGCGTCTGTTGGTCGCCCTAACTCTGTCAAACATACCTGAGCGCGGTGCTGTCGGCGGCGGAGCAGTCGCCCTCATCTCCGGGCTGGTACTGGCACGTGGTCTTGATGACCAGGTCCCGACACGACTGCTGCAGGTCGCGCAGTTCGCTGGTCGCCGAGGACAGCGTCTGGGGGTGTGGAGAGGGGGGGGGGGGGGGGTCAGTCAGCAGTCACCAATCAGTCGGCAGTCAATCAGCGCTGAGGGGCTGACTCAGCAGGCGTTTCAGTAATCAAATCACGGCGGCTCGCCCAGCCGGTCAGAATTGGCATTCACGACCGTTCGCTGGTAACAAGCGAAGCTACTACAAATGGTTAGTGGACACTGGTCAGTGGACAGAGAGGTAGTAAACATTAGTTATTAACAATCAAACCAGTGAAAGTGACCACAAACCACTCGCCGAGTCGCTGTCACACAAGCCACGGGAGGGGGCTCTCATCACCGCCGTGCCGACACCTCACTGGCCAACAATTCAGCGGACAAATCACATGGCTGGCCGGCGGCGGGCCGAGCCCCTCACCCTCAGATCACCGGCTTTCACAGCCGCGGCGAGGGAGTGTCCCGGCTCACAATTTCCCCGGCATGCGCGCCTGCATTGACGGCCGATTCGCACGTATTCCGCCGGCCGGCGCACCACGTGAGGACTCGCCGCTGCATACACCACTAAAAGTCAATCGCCAGGATTGAACGGCACGCTCCCAATAATATACACAACCAGGTGATATACAGCCGGGTTTTCCGAGCCGGGAATGGTGCTTCGCGCCGCGGAGGCGGCCCCTCAGCGCAGTCGGCCGGCTCAGAGGCCGGAGCCGTCCGGACAAAGCGGTGCCCAGGGCCGCGCTGTCGAGCGAGACGACTCGATGACTCGAGACTCTGAGATGACTCAGCCGGGCGACAATGGCCTGTCAACGCCAATTCCGGCCAACAAACCGTGTCGGCGGCCACTGGAGGCCGGCAGCGGCGACCCAGCGACGACACAGAGACGAGCGGCGCGATCTGTGTCAAGTGATAATGATCGTCACCTACTCCCCGGTCGGTTACAGTGAGCGGAGCTGATTGAAGCTGCTCGCTAGGACAAGGGCACAAACGCCGTAACGTGGCTGAAAGTGGGTTGGGGCCACCGAATCTGGCCATCGAAACTAGGCACTCGATTCGACACTAAAACCCTTCACCCAGGATCACGGTCATTGCCGGCAGACACCGCTACTTCGTCACCTTTTTCTTCGACTATCAATGATCGCTTAGCATCTCTCCTCGCCTCCACAGTACCGGTCTAACACATTCCACACCCTCTTCGCCCCCTCTCTCCTCCTGCTTTCTACCCCTTCTCTCCTCACTCACCGTTTCGATGTCGTTCCAGGCGGGACTGGCCGGGCTGACCAGCGCCTCCAGGTCCCGTGCCATCCTCCTCAGCCGCCCCAGCCGCCGCTCGCGCTCACTGAGGTCGTCCGAGCAGGCGCTGTCGTAGCCGGAGGTGCCCTCGGAGAGCTCGTCCAGCGACGGGGTCGACAGCGGGTCCGGCAGCGACGCAGACTGTGGGGAGAAAAACATGCATGGTGAGGGGCCATAACTTACAGGGAACATCGCAAAACACACATCACATACACTATAGCCGGTGGGACATTCACCGGAGATACATGAGCAGAGTAAATGTGTATTACAAACGGATTACAATGCTGTACGAGTAGGAAAATGCCTTCTTTATTACGCATTTACTTGCTCATGTATTTCGCCATTCAGAGACAGGGGCTGACAAACCAGCATTGAGCGGACATCCTACCACGCTAGAATCTCTCAACTCATCGCTCATGACTTCGAAACACCTTACATAATCCAGACCAGTCTGGGAGATGCAGGGATATGAGCTGTGAAACGAGGGGAGAAGTGCAAAGGAGAAAGACCGGGGGAGGAGTTGGCGCTGAGGAGCGGCCCCATTTATCACCTCGGCCGAGGTTAGCCCGTTTACGTTAACGGCCGCCGCGATCGGGGCGTTTACGGTCGGCAGTCAGCGTGTTTACTGGCCATCGCCGGCACCGATGGCCGACCGCGGGCCAGGCTGACGTCACCAGGTCAGCACAGGTCACCCTGGGTCACCCGAGGTCAGCGGCGGGTCAGCCGTGAGCGGGAGCGATCCGCCCAGCGCTGGCCGAGCGGCGAGCACAAAAGGCCGACCCCCAGCCGATGGCAATTTGCAGTGGGCAAACATAGGCGATCGTAACTGGCCGCAGCGCACCGCAGACTGCCGTTAACATCGGCTCGTCATTGTAAAGCGCCCCACGCGGACACGGGAGGCTGCGGTCGGCCGCGCGGGGGCACAGGTGCGGCAGAACAGATCACACCGGCGCGTCTGTTTTATTAGCCCATTCAGGTTGTAGCGTGACGCAAGGATGAATGTGAGCCGTATAAGTGTGAGTCAGCTTCAGCGTCGAGCTGTGAACCGGTGACCCAGCGTTGGTCATAGCCGCCGGCATCTGATGCCGGCAGGGCCGAGTTACACCCTGCAAGTAGCTGGGCCGGGCATGACGTATGGGAGCATGATTGGCTGGTTATGATGTGAGATATATGACGTATGACAGCGCGATTGGTTGGTGATGATGTGAGATGTGTGTCTGCGAGCTGTGGATGTGCCAGGAGGGGGATTGTGAGTTTAGTTGGCTGGAAGGTGTAGAGGAGAGCAGAATAGATCTTCTTCTTGTGCTGGACGGTGACTTTTAAGTCAGTACGACAAGCTATTTCGGCCTTCTCGACTAAGTGTTGTGATTATGTCTGACGTAGAAGAGGGCAGTGGTGCACCGGTAGCTGGTACCAATACCATGGAACCAGAGTTTCCTGCGCCTGCATTCGATCTGCGGGCAATACCGGAGTTCGACGGCAGCGGTGACGTCGTCAGATGGCTGGAGCAGGCGACACAGCTGTGTGCCCTGCGTCGTGTGTCACTGGCCGCTGTCATACCCACACGCCTGAGGGACCAGGCGTACGAGGTGTGGGCCACCCTCTCCTCCACCGAGCAGCGGGATGCTGCAATCGTCCGCCAAAAACTGCATCGTGCATTTGCATTGGGACCCGACGCGGCTATGTATGAGCTGTATCACCGACGTCTACAACCGGGCGAGTCTGTGGATGCCTACCTGGGATCAGTCAAGCGGCTGATATCCCTCATAGGTTCAGTGTCCAACGAAGTGATGACGACGCACTTCCTGCAAGGTCTGCCGCCGGAGGTGCGGCTAACAGTACGTAACAGTGCTGGAGATGAAACTCTCTCCTTGGAGCGAGCCGTCGCCGTCGCTAGGTCAACGTTGGCGATGGCGGCCAGGGAGAGAGCGACTGCATCGGTGGCTGTCGTCCAGCCGCCGCCATCATATGTACAGCAGCAGCGGGGAGCCAGAGGGACGGGTCGCCGTCCACCACTGCGGTGTTGGACCTGTAACCAGGTAGGCCACATCGCCCGGCTCTGCCCAAACGGGCACGGCGACGGCGCTACATCAGCGCCACGGGCTCCGCCGTCGCCAGCTGCCGCAGTGACCCAAGAGCCCCCATCATCGACATCAATGTAAATGGGCGCAAGTGCCGAGCACTCGTCGACACAGGGTGCAGCGAGACAGTGGTGTGGAAGGGCATGGTGTCCTGCTGGGAGCGGAGTGACGCCAGCTTGGTCGCTGTCAACGACAGCCCGGTGCTGTGCTGTGGGCGGGCTGTGGTCAGCCTTGGAGTGCGCGGGGCGACAGTGAGTGTGCGGGCGGTCGTCGTACCGGCCCGGTTGCTGGGTGTAGACGTGTTGCTGGGCATGACCGGCATTGACGCCCTGCAGGGCGTGAGTGTAAGTGGAGGATCCGTTCGCTTCGGGAGCGACAACCCAGTTGCGAGCGTCGACACGGCTGCTGTGGTGCAGCGTGAGGCCCCGCCGGAGCGGGAGGTGTGTCGAGCGGTCGACACGGCTGCTGTGGTGCAGCGTGAGGCCCCGCCGGAGCGGGAGGTGTGTCGAGCGGTTGACACGGCTGCTGTGGTGCAGCGTGAGGTCCCGCCGGAGCGGGAGGTGTGTCGAGCGGTCGACACGGCTACTGTGGTGCAGCGTGAGGCCCCGCCGGAGCGGGAGGTGTGTCGTGCGGTCGACACGGCTGCTGTGGTGCAGCGTGAGGTCCCGCCGGAGCGGGAGGTGTGTCGAGCGGTCGACACGGAGCCGGAGCTAAGGATTGACGAGACTGACTTCACGGCTGTGTTCGATGATGTGTGGACAGTCCGTTGGAAATGGGCCGGTGGCGTGGCTCCGCCCCCGCTTGGAAACTCGATAGCTCAGTACGGTGTGCCGAGTTGTGCGCGTGAAAAATTCGATGCAGAGCTGGCGCTGTGGATTAGTGAGGGCTGGCTGCGCGAATACGATGAGACGATGTACGGTCCCGCACAGGGATTGATCCCGTTGATGGTGGTTACTCAGGCAGCGAAGGACAAGGTGCGGCCGGTGTTAGATTATCGGGAACTCAATCAACACCTGACACGTCACACAGCCGACGCTGACGTCTGCGTGGAAGAGCTGCGAAGGTGGCGACGTCACGGACGCCGGGTCGCTGTCCTGGATCTGAAGAAAGCTTTTCTTCAGCTTCGTGTGGACCCGGCCCTGTGGCCGTACCAGACAGTCATCGTGCAAGGGCGGCGGTACTGCCTGACCAGGGTCGGCTTTGGGCTCAGTATCGCGCCTCTGATCATGAAGGCTGTGGTCAGGAAGGTGCTCGCACAGAGCCCCGGGTTGGCAGAGGCAGTGCTGCCTTACGCCGATGATCTGCTGGTCAACGAAGCGGTGGTCTCGGCTGATGAGGTTGCCGAGCACTTCGCTCGATTCGGGCTCACATGCAAGCCGCCGGAGCGGGTCGCGACCGGTGCACGTATGCTGGGCCTTCGTGTCGCCGAGAGCGACGGGCCGGCACTCCAGTGGAGTAGGGACGGGGAGTCACCAACGCAGGCTCCACCCGTGCTAACGCGGCGATCTGTCTTCGCGTGGGCCGGCCAGCTGACATCTCATGTGCCGGTCGCAGGCTGGCTGCGGCCGGCCGCTGCATGGATGAAGCGGACTGCCAACCGCCTCAGCCCGGACTGGGACACTCCGATCGTCAGCGAGGAACTACAACGTGAGGTGGATGAGGTGTCACGGCGGTTTCGAGCATGTGACCCGGCACGCGGCCAGTGGTGTGTGACAGGGACGAGCGTCGTGGTGTGGACCGACGCCAGCTCCATCGCCCGCGGTGTCGTGCTCACTGACCCTGACACGGGCGCCATCATCGAGGACGCGTCCTGGCTGCGTGCCGAATCGGAGAGGGACGTGCACATCAATATCTCAGAACTGGATGCCGCTCTCAACGGTGTCAACCTGGCGGTAGCATGGGGCTTCCGTCGCCTGACGCTCCGGACAGACTCGGTGACGGTGCACCGCTGGCTGAGTGACGCGCTGTCGGGTAAGGCAAGGCTGCGAACCAAGGCGCAGTCCGAAATGCTTATCCGACGGCGCGTGGCTGTTTTCCGTCAGCTCGTCATCGAGTACGAACTGGAGGTCACTATCGAGCTGGTCGCGTCAGCGGTCAACCGTGCTGATGAGGTGACGCGGGTGCCCAACGCCTGGCTGCAGACTGCCGACCAGCCAACCACTGATTCGTCCAAAGCACAACCGGTGGCTGTCGCTGCCATCACAAGTGCCTCAGCGAGTGACATCCGCACCATCCACGAAAACATCGGTCACCAAGGAGTGAGGAGAACGTTGTGGTACGCCCGACGTGAGCTGGGGGTGAGGCGGGTGTCAAAACCAGCTGTGCGAGACGTGGTCAGACGATGCCAGACGTGTGCCTCGATTGACCCGGCGCCGGAGCGCTGGCCCGGTGGGTCACTCGGAACAGAACGCACGTGGGATCGCCTGGCCATGGATGTCACCCACGTGCACGGCCACCCATACCTGACGCTGGTGGACTGCGGGCCGTCGAGGTACGCCATATGGCGACGGCTTCGCCGGGCAGGAGCTCTGGAGATTGTGAGTGAGCTGGAGAACGTGTTTCTAGAGCGTGGAGCCCCGGCGGAAATACTCACGGACAATGCGACAGAGTTCCGTGGCCGGGTCATGTTAGCGTTCGCGGCTCGCTGGGACGTATCCATCCGGTTCCGCGCTGCCTACGAGCCCGGCGGGAACGGCATCGTCGAGCGCCATCATCGTACCATCAAAGTGATGGTGGCCCGGCAGTCCTGCTCCGTTGCTGAAGCAGTCCATCGATACAACGTAGCACCGAAGGATGGCAGTGACCCGGCCACAGCTCCAATCAACGGGGTGCTTCGACACCCTGGCCGAGACGTTGACGTGACGCCCCGCAGAACCTCAGACGAGCCTGGTGACGCCCTGCCGCTGAAGAAACCCGGTGTATACCAGGTAGGGGACATGGTGTGGGTTCGGCGGCGGGGCGACCGATGTTTTGTAAAGTCAGACGAGGGTATTGTGACAGGCGTCGTTTCGGCCCAGACAATCGAAGTCGATAATGTCCCACGACATGTGCGAAACCTCCGACATCGGTTGACCGTCCCTGAATGTCCGAGGCCAGGGGCTCTGCGAGCGCCAACGGTGGAGTGGTCTGATGACAGCGAGTGTGATGGCGTGTGTGTGTCGCCAGCTCCGAGTGATGTGACGGAGTCGGACACGCGGCCGCCCAGCGTCGCTCAGTCCCCGGACTCCGATCCACCGACCGGGTCCGATGTGTCCGCAGACGAGAGTGAAACGTTCGTGCCTGCGACGCTGCGGCGTGGTACGCGTGTTCGAAGAGAGCCGGAAAGATATGGCGATGGTGTGCCAGAGGATGTAGTTGATGCGTTGATTGAATGACATGTAACATGTAGAGTAATGTGGTTCTTCAGAACCAGGGGGTGATGTAGCGTGACGCAAGGATGAATGTGAGCCGTATAAGTGTGAGTCAGCTTCAGCGTCGAGCTGTGAACCGGTGACCCAGCGTTGGTCATAGCCGCCGGCATCTGATGCCGGCAGGGCCGAGTTACACCCTGCAAGTAGCTGGGCCGGGCATGACGTATGGGAGCATGATTGGCTGGTTATGATGTGAGATATATGACGTATGACAGCGCGATTGGTTGGTGATGATGTGAGATGTGTGTCTGCGAGCTGTGGATGTGCCAGGAGGGGGATTGTGAGTTTAGTTGGCTGGAAGGTGTAGAGGAGAGCAGAATAGATCTTCTTCTTGTGCTGGACGGTGACTTTTAAGTCAGTACGACACAGGTATCGAGCACCGGGGGGCGTTACTGTCAGCGGGCGTGTGTTAGATCTGCGCACCAATGCATGGACGGAGCAGGGGCTCGCTAAACGTCCGTTCACCCGCCGCCATAGCCCCCGGCTCCACGCGGAGAGCGCTCGTACAGAAGCAGCGACAGTCACCCCGGCAGAGCCCCACCTAGCGTTCCGGACCGGGCCACGGCGCTATCACCACCATTCGCACACAATCAACGGCGGCTTTTTACAGCCGGCGCTGTTCAATTACCAATTCAGATGGGCGGCCAGTGCGTGCCCGTTTCCTTCTGGCCAGAGGTGGGAGCCGCGAGGGGAGAGGTCTGTCCAGGGGTCGGGCCGCTGCATACCGTGGAGGGTCGGCTAGGGGACACTGGACAGCGCCGTTCCCAAGAGGATGGCTCGTCTCCAAGAGCGACAAATGGACTGAGAGCCAAAGTAGAATAACACCGCGGCGGCCATCTCACAACCATCCACTCCGTAGCAGCTCCGTAAACACCCACCTCCGTCTGCTGCTGCAAGTGCAGAGGACACCCGGTAATACCAGGTGACGCCGCCGAGCCGCGCGCGACACCCCCTCCCCCTCCACCGCGCGTCTGATCCGACACCGGCAACACCACGCGACACCGACTTCTTGTCGCGTCAGCTATCAATAACGCGCCCGCAGCCAAACCGGACAATGCGCCTATTTTGACGTATGTCCAGCCGCGCTTGTTTGCAAAGACGGATTACCATAATTTTTGCCGTCCGAAAACACCTCGGCCGGCGCGGGTGTGACCGCTGGGCAGGTGCAGCCAGCGACCACCGAGGGACGAATCGCGGCGCGGAGGCCGATCAACCGCTGCCGCAAACAATTTCTTACCGGCTCACGGCCGGCCGGTCGGCAGCGAATCGAGCTCGAATAGCCATAACTCACGCATCAGGGAATTAATTGGGCTCCGGACCGGCGACCGGGCGCTGCATGCCGGCCGCGCTCCCAAAAACCGGCAGCAATGCGCCATAGCTCACAGTCGGACAGCGGCGAATGCTCCGAGTGCCACCGGCCGGGCGGCCACTGAAAGGGGGCGGCGCCGAGCGACACGCTGATTTATTCGGTCTGATTTAGGGCCGGTTCGGCAGCCGGCCACCTCCACTACCGTCCTGCGGTGCTATGGAACTTATGAACAGTCTCAGAGCGGTGCTAAATCATCGCATCCACCGTCGGCGTGGACCCGGACGAGCTCGATTTATGGGCCGCGCGGGGGTGCGCGGGCAAACAAATACCACCCCGTCGGCGGCACGCGGGAGGCGCAGTAACGGAGGTCACCCACGGAGGCGGAGAGAAGGCACCCCCGGCCGAGGCCGGTGTCACAGAGCCGTCCTTACACACGGCGCTGCCTCGCAAATCGGCGCCGGCACCGGCGGGACAGCAGCCGGTGTGACGGCGGCGACACGCGCGTCGGACGGAGGTGTCGGGAGCGGAGTTTACTACCGACACCGGGCCGCCGCCGCCGCGTCAGCCGCCGCCACCGCGCGAGTTATCGGCCCCGCAGCTCTGCCGGACGGACGGACGGAGCGGCGGGCTGCTCTGAGGAGCCCCGACACTCGGACACGGACAGGGACACGGACAGGCGGACACCTCACACTGTCCGCCGGCCCGGCACACCGCCGCGGACACAATGGGTGGTAACGGGCGGCGGCGGGAGGGCGCCGGGTCGGCCGGTGGCCGCGCAGGACGGCACGGCGCCTCCCAGAGCGCTGCCGCCGTGTCTGCTGTCGTGTCCCGTCGCGGCACTGTCGCAGGATTGTCGCGCGGCTGTCGCAGCGCCGCGGTGCATCTGTCGTATGATGGCGCTTACGGTTGCGCTGAATGGCCTCCCACTCTGTTCGTCAGAGAGCGACGTCCACTAAAGGCCGTGTTACACTGCCGAATTTTGGCCACGACCCTGTCGCCGAATCACGTCGTGTAGGAAATCGGCGAACAGTTCACCGACAGAGGTGAACAGTTCGCCGACAGAGCCCGATTTGAAGAAAACGGGTGGGGGCCCCCCTAATCGTGCTCGGGTTGAAGCTGATCCATGCTTCGGCGAATATCGCGAATGAATGGCGAATCTGTTGCGAATAGTCGGCGATACCTTGGCAACAAGTCGGCGCACGCAGCGACATGTCGGCGGCGACTCGGCGACTGTTTGGCGACCATGTTCGTTTATTATAAGTCCGGCGAACGGCCACGAAATTTTCATTTTTCATGAAATATTCGTGGCGGTCGTGACGAACCGTAAAAGTCGCGCGGTGGACAACGACTGGTCTGCGAAATGCCAAGACCGTGGAAGAAAGATCCCGAATCGGTCCGCGACATAGGATGACTTGCATATTCGTGCACATTCGTGTATCCAAAATTCGGCAGTGTAACAAGGGCTTAACTTAGCCACGTCACTCCGCGCAGGCCAGTATATCATCACAGCCGCTCCCCACCGCCCATACTCGGTCTGTCCCCTCACAGACCGGTCATCTCTGCCCGACAGCACAGCCCATCCCTCGGCTTTAGGCAACGCTAGACCTCAACAAGAGGCTTGGTACGACAGTGTCGACAGCATTGCTCAGGGTCATGCGGATCAACGGTCATGATAATCATGGAAGGCCAAAAAGGAGTTAGGTAAAACATCGCAGCCTGACAAAGTTTAAATCTGATTTTCATAGCAAACAGTCGTCTCAGTATCAGCACAGTACCAGAGCTCCTCACCCCGGCACATACCTTATCCTCCTCCGCACTGCCGGGAGCAGCCGCGGCGGCGGACTCTGCCGTCTCTGTGGGCAGTCGTGCCGACCTCTCAGTCAGCACCCGCGCCACATCCTGGACCCGACTGCCGACATCGCCTCCTGTCAGCAGCGCCTCTCGCAGCAGACCCAGCTTCAGCCGGTCTCCCTCGAGCACGGCTGTGAGCTCGGCCCGCGCCGCCTGGAACTGACGCCACGTGCACTGGAGCGCGCTGAGCTGCTCCAGCTGAGAACGGGCCCTGCGAACACAGCGAGAGGGGAGAGGGAGTTAGATTGGAGCAGAGCAACACATACCGGGGAGCGGAGTTACACGATAGGCGACACTTCTCACTGGGAAAGCTTGACAGAGGGAGCATTCTTCAACTAGGAGAGGAAAGAAAACATCTTACCCACTAAGAAAGCTGAGGGAAAAGGAAGTCTGGGTTCAGTTCAAAAGGACATCAGAGATATAAGTGTAGCAAAACACTAGCCAAGGCAGTTTTTAGTAAAAGCGACAGAGCGTGAAATAGACCGTGAACCAAAACAACCGACAACGCCGACCGTTTTGGCAAAGGACATTTTCTTTCGGGTCACGTCTGCATCCGGCACATTATGCAGTTTCCACAACACAGAAACAGCAGATTTTACGGAAAACACTCCCTGTGGCCGCGCCCCAGCATCCCGTTCAGTCTGGGTTCCGAGAACTCGGCGTCACCATCGTCCCGAGCCTGCGTCAGAGGAGTGGACTGGGGGCGTCCCTGTCTGTCACAGACCTCACCGATCCGCCTCTGCCTATCTCTGTCCGGAGAGGGGTCGCGCTGGCCAGGCGGTGACCACGGTCTGCATTATCCATGAGCCGCCGGGCGGGATGCGGAGGACAGTACCGGCGAGCGGAGGACAAGAAGGGGTGTTCAGACCGACCAGTGGCGGGCCGGCTCGGTCGACACAGCACCGCGCAGTTTTTGTCGTCACCGCGCCGGCCGGAAAAAGGGCGCCGTAAAGGTGTCTCAGGAGGAGTGACAGGTCGAGAGGAGGGGGAGGGGGACGGCGCGGTCAGATTTACAGTCGCCGCCGAACGGCTCTCACCGCGGCCCGGTCCGCCGCCCGCGCCGAGCACTGGAGGGTCGCCACACTCGGGCACTCGAGCACTCGGGAAACGGACACTCTGGCGTGATAACACCTAATGACAACCGGCCCTAATAGCCGTTATACGCCATTATCCCCTTGCGTCGGCCCGGTTTGGCAGAGGCCAGCTTTTACATTAATTATCCCGGTGCATTGAGCCGGCGTCGTTTTTATTTGGGTGTCGGAAGGTCGCGCCCCGCGCCCTCCCAGATCTCACAGGAGGCGGCCGAGGACCGGGCCCGACCGGCCCAGAAAATAGACGAAAGACAGGGGGTCTGTTGTCGCCGGCACCAACGGACACCCCTCTAAACAAGGCGCCCCGAGAGGGCCGCCGGCCGCGCCGGGCGCGTCACAAAGGCGCTAAATCTGCCGCCCGGAGGGTCGGCGCAGCGCTATATAGGTTAGTTGTGCGCCGCGTTCGCCCGCCAACGGCCGCATCTGTCGCGCGACGCGCCGTAAATAACGCGCCGACATCGCCGCCGGCGCGCCACCGAGCACGACGCGACGCGGCAAAAACGACGCGCGTCGAGCGGTGCAAAAACCATTCACCGGCGCTGGTCCGGCGGCGTCCGAGTCTCCGAGTCTGGTCGGCCGGCCCGGTAGCGGTGTGGCGCGTCGGCACGGGAGCCGGCCTCGCGCCGCGCTCCTCATTACCGCCGTAATTAACTCGGCGCATTGTTTCGCGCCAGCACAGTCACGCCGGGCGATGATACGGCGCCGCGCCAAATTGATAGGCGGTCGGCGCGGATAGTGCCGGTTAGAGCGGGTGCCCGGCACGCTCTGAGCCGCCGCCGCGCGGCGCCCGTTCACCCGAACCGCCACCCGCTCCCGCTACCGACTCGGCCGGCGCCTTATCATTTTCCCAAAAGTTACATAGCACATTTTTGCCGCAGCCGGCCGGCCGCTCGCCGGTGCATAGTCATTGCACGGCAATCATCCGCTAGCAGCCAGAAAAATTAACCACTTGTGCAAGCGGTCAAACTAAATAAACAAATGGTGGCCGGCGCGGCGCGGCCGCGGGCGGCGGCGGGGGAGCTTTGTCAGGGCCGATGGCCAATTACTGGCCGCCGATCAATGGCCGATATGTGGCGATGAAAGGCGCGGCTCGCCGCCTCCGCCGCCAGATGGCCGCCGCGCGCCGCAATCGCCTCCGGCCGCGCCGCCGATCGCCGCCAGCTTTTGAATAAATCCAATTTTTGTCGGCCGACGCTGAGGCGAACTCCCCGAGGCGAAATAAATCCGAGTGCCAATCATTTGCCGGCATTAATACCTCGGTCTGTGTCATTACGACCCCGGGCACGCGCTGCCCTCTGACGGCAAATAAGTCGGCGGCGCGCGCCAAAATATGAGATTTGGCGCCATATTTCACCAATCGGCGGCGGCGCCTCGGCCGGGGAACGGATCGCTTCGGCCGAAAACAAACATCAGTCAGCGCCGATATTGGATTTAACGGCGACGAGTGGCGGCCGGCGCGAGGGGGTCGCGTCAAATCGAAACGGGCGCGTCACCGCCGCCGGCCGCGCTAACCGCCGACACTTTGTCATATTAATCGACACCAACTGATGAAAAGTTACAGCCCTCGACGGCGACAGGTCCCGCACGCCCCGACATGGAGGGGCGAGCGGGTTACGGGCGACGCAGCCGGTACCGTCGGCCGCGTCTCGACCACCGCCGCACCCTCCGCGGCCCCTCACTGCGACAGATGGAGGATTGTCGGGGGCGCCGCGACACCGCACGGGGCAGATCGGTACCGCTGAGCCCGCGCCGCACCGAAACACAAGCTGCAGATTACGGCGACGACTCAGAGCCGGCGCGAGCCAGAGCACAATGGGAATCAGATGGATCACTACGAGGCGCCAGACACAATCGCACCGCGATGCGACCAAAGAGCGACGCAGCACCGCGGCTTTAGCTCCGTCGTATGGCGCCGCTTTATCCCAGCGTGTGATCGGCGGATTTATCCGACAAATTATGTCCCAGTCGAGCAAGAGCGGTCAGTGTCGATTTCGGGCGGATCAGGGGTTGGGTTGACCTCTGGACACCCCCGGTGACCCCGGTGACTCAGGTGACCTCAGTGACCCCACTGACCTGTGGTTGATCTCGTCCCAGAGTCGGTACAGAGTGGCGATGTCCTCTTTGAGGGAGGGAGAGCCGCCAGAGGTCACGAAGCCGTGTACGTCGGTATTGACGGCCACCAGCTCCCTTCGCCGGTCGGCCAGCTCGGCCTGCAGCGCCTGAGGGCAAAAACGTCAGGTCAGGCCAGTCAGGTAATCGGACTCACCAAAGGACACACGACAGGTAAACACTCGGAGTTTGCGATTCGTCGGATCAACCTATACCAAGGTTTCAAATTCAGAGCGCAGATTGGATAACTTTCATCCCCGTCGACCCACGAGAAGGATGTCAGATCATAGTAAAGATTCGTACCACATCTGTCCAGGTCAAGGTGAGATACTGGAGCACTGTCGTAAAGATCAATAACGCTGGCTAGCCACAGTTACGACCTATACTCCATCCAGTATTGGATAACCAGGGACAAACAGGTTTTAACGGCTTTCAAATTAAGAGCTTCTTATCTAATCACTCGCATCACAGACCGTAACTCCCGTTAACCTAGCAGGTGAAGATTTCCCCATAAAGAGGATGTGCCGACGGACCTTAGCCGGAGAGCGCTATAATCGTTATTTGTCTCCCTCGTAAGGGCTGTCGTCGCTCGGCTTATCCTTTCAGTGACCGCCGACCGGGCGCACTTAAACTTTCCTTTTGTGGCCGACCGCCGCGACCGGAGACTCATGGAGAAGGGTAGGGTGCTGGCGCCAGGTCATGACCTTAGGTCAGGGAGGTCAGCCCCGCCTGAGGAGTAATATCTCGGATTGAACGGGAAAGAGTGGAGAGGATAATATCGGCTTTAGTCGAGTGTTGGACATGTGAGCTCAACCACTTGGGCTCAGCCCAACATGCTTGACGCAATGGACGCAAGCCCATACAATCCCGCTTCCATCACCTATCTCGGAGGTCGGAATCCGTGGCTAAAGAATAGCGTCAATACCACAGAAAGTCAGTACCTAACTCTGTTGGTTCCGATCGGACCAGCATGAACAACGCGTTCTCACCTATCGGAACGGGGACCGTTGTACACAAAAACCGTCCCGTTCAAACGAAACAAACAGAACAATTCCATATTTTTATATTTGGCCCCCTGCGAGCCTCCGGGGGTGCCGGGGTGCAATGTCGCGTCTCACGCGCCTTGGCCGGCAGGTATGGAAATCGGGACCCACTCGATATCATAATCTGTGGGAGCGGCGCATTCAGGCGGACGGTCGTCTGCGACGCGGCGCACAGACACGGCGCACCTGAGACAAAGCAGTGCCGCTAATCCGCCGATACAGAGGCGGCCGACGCGGCGCGGCAGCGGCGATTTATTGGCGCGCCGCGGCTGCGCCACTCACGCCGCCCGGCAGACACCGCGCATTTTTACAGATGGAACAAGACAGTGTCGGCGAGGCCAGTTTGTAAACGGAGAGCAGACATTTGCATATGGTAATGGCTCTGCACGAGGCGAGCACGGCCGGCGGGGGGCGGCGGGGGCACCGTGCTCCTCTGAAAACCTTCAAGATTCGGGGGGAGGGTGGGGGTGGGGGGGCACCAAGCTCCTTCAAACTCCTCCAACAGTGGGAGGGAGGAGGATAAGAAGCTCCTCCAGCATCCTCCACCGCCGGCAGGGACCAGAATCCAGCCGTGCGCGCACCGCGGACGGCTCGCCAAAAACCTTTTATGTCATAAAGCGTCCGGCGTCGGCCGGCCGTCCATCAGCCGGTGCCATCAAAGTCAGCCGGCAGACATAAGCCACCGGCGCGCACCGCATATCCAGCCCGCCGGCGCGCGGCAAAAACACAGAAACCCAATCGGGATCAATCAGCGCCGATAAAAAGTCGCCAGAGACGGTCGATATCGTCCGATAGGTGGGCCAAAAAGTGGCCCGGCCCGGGCGCGTCCCATGCCGGACGCACCGGCCGGCCGGCCGTCGCCGACTCCGACGGCTGGTTTTTGTCGGCGGCCGTAATAATTTCTTCTGCGTGATCTCTCGGGTCGTTCGTAAATCATCGGCGGGGATGGACAGCATAAGACGGACGCCGCGGTCCTGGGCTGTCCTCGGTGGTCAGTGGTCCGCGGTCCACGTGGTTTGGGCCCGTGCTCGTGGTCTGCTATTGGTCCGTCCTATATGGTCTCTTCTAGTCCTCTACTCGTTTGTGACTCGCCATTTCGTGTGCTTCATAATTGTGATTCATTATGAAAGGCATTGAAAGGCATTAAATCAGTCATTATGATGAAAAGTTATTGATTTTAGGCCCTGTTTCAATGGTTACCACTACTCCATCCCCAATTTATTCATTCATTCTCTTCTCTGATCAACGGATGGCCACCTGACCAGCAATCTGCCGCAGCGGTTGCCGCCTCTGATCTTGACCAAATGCCAATGTCGCGCGGCCGTCACTGGCAATGATCGCCCCGTCAATGCCTCACCAATTCATCGGCATGACATATCTTACGGCTCATTACACCCCTCTCCTTATTTATTCAAAGCGAGTCCATCACCCGGTGGTAAGCTTATTCATCTAACCATCCGTGAATTTGTCCGACTAATCACCCATCCGTTTCCAACGCTGCGTCGTTTTCCGTCGCTCGTCGCGCGCGTCGTCACTCGTAGCATCTCCCGGGGGAGCGAGCACCGTCGGCGTCGCCCCCGGCCGTCCGATCAGCGCCCCGGGTCCGTCTAATACCCAATCAGGGCGGCGCCCATTAGGCCAGCTTGTTCACAGAGTCGGCCTGCCACCAGCCCCGGCCCGCCCGGCACCGGCTAATCCGTAAAATACGACGCCAGCCGCGCGGATCGATGTTGTGTGGTTCGCACGGCGAGGTGTCGCCGCGGCCGGCGTCCTAATCCGCGCACAAAAGCTCGATCTCAGAACGAACGTCATAAATTCATAGTGTCGGAGATCGGCGCGGCAAAAACTAGCGGCCGGCGACACACAGAAGCTGGTGTCGCAGCGGGCGCCGGGTGGACGGGAGAGGGGAGACCGCGGTTTTTGGACGGTACGAGAAGTTGGAAACCGTGTTCGTGCATAGGGTTCCGATGGAGCTGCAGACAGTATCCCGGATGAAATATGATAAATGAAGGATAATTGATCAGATAAAATGCGGATAGATGACTATGAAGAAAGGATTCTCGGATGCGGAGAAATTCCCGACAAGACGCACGAGCCGAGGGAAACGATTCGACAGCTGGCACGACAACCCTTTCTTGGCTGACATTCCACCTTGCGACCGCCCATACCCTCCCATTCCAGGTCCATCTCACCCCATTCTCAGCCGACCCCGCCCCGCCCCTGATCTGCCCGGCCCTTCCGCGAGCCACTCCCAACATACCCTCCGTCCTAAATCGTCCTCCCAGCCGCCGCGGCAGTTTCTCAGTCCGGTAGCTCACCTGTCGGGCGCGTCTCCCGGACAAATTGACCCGCTATCAGCCCACTAATGGAGCGGCCCCATTGAGCCGGTCTGTAACCCTTCCCGGGACCGTGGGGACGCCTCCCGGTGGGGTCGGGACGGACGTTTTTGTGAGCCGCGCGTGGCACGCCCCGTGCCGCCCTTTGTTGCGCCAGGGGAGGAGAGGGATGGGGGGGGGGGGTGGGGAGCCCGTGGGAGGATGGCACCCCGAGGGGTGGGGTTGGGGCGATCCAAACCCCTGCCGTCCCTCCCGCACGTGTGGCAGGGCTGAGGCAGTACCCGCACAGCACATCCATCTCAATGGCCGCGATATTGTCACTCAAATCGAGCCTCGACCCGTCGCGTCCGACGCCAATCGAATCTCGGTCCCATTAGTGGAACCACCAGACACCACCCGAGCCGCCGCCGGACGACCGGGACATTACGAGACAAGACAAGACGAGACGGGCCGGCCGGGTCCCACACGGTACGTGACGCCGTCAAACGACCGCCGCTGCACGTGGCTCCGAGACGGATGGCTATTGCAGCATGGACTCCAGCCGGGTTGCACGGCCTCGACTGGCGGTACTACAGAGCGGTCAGCAGCGGCGGGAGGCAGCGGCCCCCTGGTGTGATGCACGCGCCGCGTCCGTACAGCCGCGACCCCCGGCCGGCGCCAGCCTTCACCGCCGCGCCGACACGGGACGGAACAAACTGCCGCCCGGCTATTGAGGCAAACGTACAGCTCATAACGGGCCGCTGCACGATGACGTCACCGGTCGGAGAGGCGTCATTAGTGTCCGGCTGTCGGCGGCGAGCGGCGGTCCGTCTGACCCCTCCCGCCGCGCCGGCCGTTCGCGGCGCACGGCTGAGAAATGACACGGTTAGCGGCCGCAGAGAATACAAACCGGCCGCGCACGAGCGGCAAACGGCGGCGCGGCGGCGGCAAACGGCGGCGAGCAGTGTGAGCGGCGGTGTCCCGCGCGTCGCCAGAGGCCGTTATCACATCGGGTGGCACAGAAAGCCGTGCATGATATGGGTGGAGAGAGACAGGCGAGGAACTGAAGAGGACCTCCCGCTATGAGCGCTCTCCCAACATGGCTATCTGACTGACTGCGGCTTCGACCCAGCATTACAAACAAAGGCCCAGAGAACATCTTCTCAGTCTCCAGTACCGTCCGGTCGGATCCTCAACTTGCTAATGAGACTCAATTAGGGTTGTTAGACTAATGCAACGTGCAATAATTCCACGACGTTTACATTGGCCACAATTACTTTGCACGCCGGCCGCTGGTCGTTGCGGATGAGTGATAATACACAGGGTATAGTTGCAGCATAATAAACTCCCAGCTATGACGACCCGCGCAGCCGCTTCAAGAGCCCAGCTTAGTTAAACGGCATTAGTTGGCATTAGTTCGTCGTCGACCGCAGCAAAAACAATCAGACATGACTTACACAACCACCATGGGGTGTACGAACGCAAACGGCCATTACGTGGCGACTCCGAGCGCCGCGCACCACGGGACGGCCGCCGCGCCCGTCCGCTCGCGCAGTTGCAAACGACAGTCTAACGGCGCCGCCGCGTCGGCCGATCGTCGTCGTCGTTGTGTCGCCGGCGGCTGTTTTCCGCCTCTGGGCGGGGGCGGGGGCGGTAATACGGCCGGATGAGGGCGGCCCGATCAGTATGCCGGCGGCGGCACGCGTCTACGAACTCCGCCGCTGCTGGCCACGCCCGTACGGAATCCTAATTTCGCACAATGCCCGCCGAAAAACAACCGGCCCGCGCCGCCCGGCCGGCCGGCCGCACATAGAAAAAACACGTCTCCTGCGCTACCGCTCCTGAGAAATAGCAGAGACGACTGCCGCCGCCACTGGCAGCTCCACAAACTGCCAGAAAACGGCACGCTGAGAGGGCGATAGAGACTTGGCGGCGGCTCCAGCCTCTTTTCATATAAAGTGCCAAAAAAGGTAAGCACAAAACCGACACAAGTACCGACTTACGGCCCGATCGATTCAATTCAATCATTATATTTTACTTAATTTAAGCATTGTCAAACATAAAATACGACGTCCGTATTTGATCAAGGAGATCTTATCAGCCCACCTATCAACACGGTGGGCAGTCGGCACGGTGGCCAGATAAAGAACACAGAGCTAGCCACCGACCACCATCGACAATGTTTGACGACCCATATACAACGGCTAACCAGGCAGGCAACACGGCGCGCCAGCAAATCACGGTGTCCCGCCGCGTCCGCTGACCGATCGCCGCGCGCCGTTGATTAAGACGCCTCCGTCTGAGGGCTGAGCCGTGTTTGGTCGCGCCGTGACCGGGCTCGATCTGATTCTTCGGTAACGAGTCGCCGATCGACATCACTCGGCGGGGGTCGGAGGGCGCGGCCGCGGCGCCGGCGCCCCGCACGCGCCGACAGGGGTTGGTGCAAGAACGAGGAGCACGCTGAAGTCTGACGGTTGTGGAGAGTTTCGAAACTCGACGCAGCAGAGTAAATAAAGAAACACGATCGACACCTCGTCAGCTGACATGAGCGTCTCTCCTCAGGGCCCAGATCCAGGTGTCGATGCTGTACACCTGGTCAGCATTCCTTCCCGGTGGAGAGCGCCGCAGAAAAACCCCGAACGCCCTCTCCAGGCCGCCACTGCCAGCCGCACAGGTGCCCCGCGTCCCCGAAAAACGTGGAAACGACACGACTCCCGGACAAAATTAATTACCGTGCTCAGATTTCGCATTATTCCTGGCTGCCGGCAGCGCCTGCGTCCAAGGGATCAGCGCCAGGCACAATTGGTTACCAGCGCACCCTGAGCAAAAACAGAGGGATTTTTGATGGTAAACAGGTATCACCCCATCTGGCGGCCCCGGGCGCCTGGGAATCTGAGAGCAAACAATGCGCACTAATCCCGTCCGATATTTCAAAAATAGACCAACAAATATTTTCGCACCGAGCGCGCGGCGTTTCTGCAAAAACTGAGAAATGCGTAAAAATCGTCCCATTCCACCTGTCTCTTGGCTCCCCCTGCGCCAATCCTCCGGGCGCCAGTAAATTGCGGCATACACTCGAGTCACTTTGCATATGAATAAACTGCTAAATAATGCCATTTTTATTCTTGAGCGCGGAGAGAAAGGCAGCGCGACCCTTTGATCTTCTGAATACCCAATTCACAAAGGCCCAGCCAGTGACGGCACTCGTGCCGCCATCTATCCACCTGCTCACAAACCCCTAGCTCCTGTACCCGCCACCAGAGGCAGCACGGTCGCCGTCGCGATGCGCGTCACGTCCGGAGCGTCACGTAGCGTGGACAACGGGAACTATCCTACCGTACCCGTGACGTCACGGTGGCGCCGGCGGGGATGCCGTCACGTCCCGTGGCGTCGAGAGGGTTCAAATGAGCCGTGACCTTGACGCCGGTCGCCGGTCAATTTACGTGCGGAACATGCGGGTCGTCTCGGGGGTGTCTCAGACCGCTAACCGTTCGGTTCCGCTCATTGAGATGCGGTGAGGACGGGACGGACTAGCGCGGCGGTACGAGCAGTTTAGGCTGAATGGTGAGACGACCACCACGCGACTCTCTCGGTACACGGCCGGGGTCCACAAACACGCCGGGGAGATGCCGCGCCCGGCACGTGCCAGCTACTACGGAACGGAGAGGTTACTGGAGGTCTGGGAGCCAGCAGCGCACAAAAGAGACCGGCTAGTGCCTAGTAACGATCAGTTACAGCAGATAATGGCTTGAAGAAAAGGTTTTGTAATCCAAAGAAAGCTTAGCTTGACGACACTTAGTCGAAGGCGCCTAATTGCACATCGCTTAGTGCCCTTTCATTTTCGGAAAGCAATGTAAAAGGTTCAAATTGTGTTCGAACATAATAGTGATGAGTCGATGACCGGTTATGACTGAGGTTACTCAAGATGTACACACCCGACCTACATGATTCACTGCTTTTGAATTTACATTTTTGACTATGAGTGATTCCGTTTGGTACCTACGATCAATAAACTGACTAACGAGGCCCCCCACATTCCTTCTGAATACACTGGTGGTGCAGACATCTATTAATAATCTTGCCTTGCTCTTATCATCCGATCCCTGAAGGCAGACATCCGAAGAATTTAGTGACTAATCAAGAACTCGGAAACCAAGATGACCCCAAACGACGAAGGCGGCGTGGATGACAGATGGAAGGGGCACCAAACTTGCATCGCTAAGCTAACAAGCTAAGCTATAACTACATAACTAAAGCTTGACTAATGAATTAAGTTTGGTCGGTGCTCAACCAGGGGTGGACAAATGTGCCGAGTTGGGGTAGCACGAGTCTTCCCAATTCCACGCCGGCTGCGCCGGCTTGGCTTTGGAGCCGCACCAGACAGCGGAGGTCAAGGTCACCGCCAGGGCGGCGGCGGATTTGCTGCGCCCGTGCAACCCCAACTCGGCATATTTCTCCACCCCTGTGCTCAACCACTGCCCAACTCTTACAAAAGAGTCAGCGCCCAGCGTCCAGCTCCAGCAGTGTCCAATGTTCCACCTTCCATCCCTTAGAACCCCTAGCGCCACCTATGAACTATACCACACACCACAGCTTCCCGTCGGCTCACCTGGAGGGCGCTGATGTGGGCCTGCAGCTCGTCGACGCTCTCGACCTTTGTGGAGGCGCGCGTGACGCGTTCGTCCAGGCTCCGCAGGGCGTGTCGGAAGGATCGGGTTCTCTCCTGGAGGGCGATCAGGTTGTCGGCGCTCTGCTGGCGCTCCATGGCCGCTGAGCGCAGCGCCTCCCACCGCTGGATCACGTCTGAGGGGCAGAGAGGAGAACGTCAGACCACGGGGCACAACGGGCTTTAGGTCGGTATACGGAGGTAGAGGGAGCGGTGGTGATGCACTTTGCACCGCAATTACTCTAAAAAGACAAGAACATACGCAATGTAATGGAATAGTACATATTCTTCAACAGATGCAGGCTAGAACAAAGCAAGACTTTGGTTACCCACACCACACCTCTCACTCAAAGCACAAGACAGAACTTACAGACATAGAGCGCGGAAAGCGACAGCTCACATCTCGTTACTCGGTAACCGGCAAACAGCCCAGAGAGAAATATACAAACACATTTGCACAATGGATGCCGCTCGGGCTGAAGAGATAATTGGGATGAGAGGGACCTCAGGGCGGGATGGTAAACAGGCAACAGATTATGGAAATACCGAAGAAATAAGTGTGAATGAGGTCAGCTGAGCAGCTCTCACGCTTGGAGAGGTGATGGAGGCACCGGCCCGGGCAATGCATCGCACATATAGTAAAAGTTCACCTGTCTGGCATATTTACGGCCCTAATACATTCAGAAAGGAACAGGGAACGATCAGAAGCGCATTCATAGGAGCCATCCCAGTCTGCGATAGATACCAAACTGAGCCCTTTCACGCACCAGAATCTCCCCATACGCCGAGCCATCGGACACCACTCGTCGCCCGCTCTGTACCGGATGTGTCCCCCACAGCCGCCCGGCCTGTATCCGTCGACACCGGACCGGTACACCTGTCCGCGCGGTGACTGATCGGGGCCATCTCTCATCGCGGCAATGACGGGAACTCGGGGTCAGACGGGCGGGTGACGAATTCGACTCAACCCAGAGCTAAGATCTGTGACAGATTTGGTAGGAATCTGCTCTTAAATATCCACGAGTTATTCATACCAGTCACACAAAACCTCAGCCCCGTTCCCCTGCCGCTCTAAACTAGCGGCGATTCTCAAACAAATCACTCACTTCAAAATCCACTCCACTCCACTGAAGTCCACTTCACTCTCACTCTCCCTCCCCGCCCCATGTGACAAACAGCCTCTCAGAGTGCGACAGACTCGGCGCGGCCGTGCCATCAGCGGCGCGCGGCGCATCAGTCGCCGACTAAACATCCTGCGCCGGAACCGCCGCGGCGCGGCGCCGGCGGCGCACCAAACAGCTGGGCGTGCGAGAGGTAAAATTAGACCGTCCGCCCACTCAGGCCTCAACACAGACGGTCCGATAGTAACATGGCTGACAGACAGAGCGATACAAGGCTACACTAAAAAATAACCCGGCAGAGATGGACGGATGGTAATCGAGGGAGTTTGAATGCGGCGTGATGAGTTGGGGGATGGCCAAGACAATGTAAAATGCCAACGAGTTTGACATATATTCGCGTGTTAAAGTCTGATTGAGGTCAAATATTTCGAAGCGTTTGACGCATCGTTCTGTGATCTCTCCTGAAATCATCTCCCTATCAGATAATCGGAAGCTAGGCCAACCTCACACAAACCGAACAAGACTTATCAACACACTAACGGACGGCCAGATGACAGCTAACAGCCAGGTCAGTGACAGCCGACAGTCCGGTCAGTCAGTGACAGCCGAAAGTCAGGTCAGTGACAGGCCCATCAGCCCTAGCCGCACCGTGACCGGCTGACCCGTGGCCGATTCACCGGTATGTCTCGGGCCCGCCCTCCGACCGCCGCCCTGGCACACCTCCCAACTCACAGCGCCGATGAGTGAAATCCCTCCGCTCGGGCAGTGACGGCACCATTACTCGCGGTCCTGCATAACCGGCGTATTTGCCAGTTAACGGGACATGACAACGGAACCATCCATCCATTCGGCTCGCACAGCGAACTATCGTTCCACTACATCGCAGCCGAGCTGGGGAACACACAGCGCCCCTGGCGGCCGGACGCTGAACTAGCCACAGAGGGAGCGCGATACCGAATATCACCCTGTTCTGGATGTTACAATATTGCTACATCACCATCGACATTGAACAGACAGTGGGCGGGACAATGAGCAGACCATCCCCATGCGTCGGCTGCCCGGGGTGCGTGGTTAGGGAGCGGAGGGAGGGCACAGGAAGGGGAGGGGAGGGGATGGGGGGAGAGGGGCAGCCACAGGGGCTCGCTCATCGATCTCTTTCCCCTGGCGACGGGACAGACGGCGGCGCCTCTCGCAGATAGACCACAGTCACGGGTGTGACGTCATCGCTACGGATGTGACATCACAGAGTGACGACCGCGGTCTCATGCGAGAGCCACAACAGCCGGCGGCACCAAAAGGACAGCTCCAACAGACATCCGTCAGCGCTGGCGGCGCGGCAATAAACAAAGGACAGGTGTAGACACGTGGATGTGGGGAGCGGAAGACGAGAGGACCACGCCCAAAGAGACGAGAGCGTTTCGGAAGCCATGGGTACCACGCCCCAACGCGACAACGCGACAAGGAGGTGACAACGCGCATTCGCGACAGGGCACTCAGTTTTAATTTTCATCTTGTCCATGATACATATTCAGCCATCCCTCCCTAGTCTCTGTTTTATCTATAACTGCCGAGTGGACGACCTCTTCAGATAAGCTCAGTGCTGAGCCAGAACTAAGGGCGAAGCGTCACAGAGGGACCATCACGTCGGAAAGGGCGGGGAGAGCAGGGAGAAGAGGACAGTCCTGAAGGGCAGAGCTCGAGAGCGCAGGGACATGAATGAGATACGTCACACTCCATCACTGGCAGAAAACCGCCGCCGCTGAGAGTGTCAGTCGCAATCACAGGCCCCTCAGACAGAGACAAATGGGGAAAGCTCGCTGAATATGACAAGTGGGCGAGTGGGACTAAACTTCGGAGGAAGAAGACAACAAGCAACAAGAAAATTCATGAAAACTGATGTTTTTTGAAGCGTTGAGCAAAGGTGAGCAAGCCTAGCCCGAAGAAAGGCCTCCACTTCCTACAGCAGCAATTTCAATGTGAAAATACACACATCTCTTTAAATCCAAGCGATGTGTTCCCACTTACTCTGCGTCAGACTCGGTCCCAGCTCGGAGTCAAAGTCCACCGTATTGGTGAGGACCCGCTCCGAGTGTTCCACCTTCCTCGAGTCTTCATACACCTCGACCACATCGCTGACCTTGATGATGACCCGGTCATGACCTCCTGACCCCGGTGGAGTCCCGGAATCACACGCACTGCGCTCTTTCTTACTCCCGGTATCTACTTTAGGTCGGGTGGACGTGGCGCCCTTTCGTGTCCTGCCCTGTGACCTGCCATCGGACCCAGCCGACGGCTGAGGTCGTGTCCTCTTCTGACCAGGAGGTGCCTTAGCGGCTCCAGTCCGCACCTCCGTAGTCACACATCTTTCCTCCCAATCCTCCAAAATCACGATACTGGGCACTGTTCTCCTCTGTTCCTTCTGTTCACCAACACTGCCACCCTGGTCACTGCGCCGGGTCTTTGTGTCACTGACTGAAGGTGATTTTACACCACCACTGGCCTTTGGAGACTCCAAATTTACGTGCCGTTTGTCTATCCTGGCCCTTGGGTCTTCTCGTCCCACTCCAGGTCTCTCACCACCAGCACAAGCCGCTAAGGTTGCAAAAGATAGCTGCGAAGGCGGCGCTGAGGCCCGTCGGACAATCGGCGACGTCTCTATCGATCCCGATGTATCCATCGCAGACTCCAGCGACGTATCCAGCACAGTTTCCATCACTGTATCCACCGCCGGATCCCTGGACTGCGTGCGCGTCAGCTCGGCGGCTCCCAGCCTGCCGCTCGCTCCCGGCGGCATGGCTCGGCACCCTCCTACGCACACCCTCTCAGCTCGGCCGCTGGCACCGCTCTGCCGCCGGCCGGAGAGCCACGCCGATCGATACGACCCCGGCCCCGGGGGACGGCTCGCGGTGCCGTCGACTGACCTCGGCCGTCACTCTGACACGACCTGGGTCACTGGAGACGGGTGCAGCGGCACGAGCAGCCAACACGTGAGCCGCCGAGCCGCCGCCGCCCGAGCGCGCGCCACCGCCGCCCAGCCGCGCCTGCCGACGACTGACGGCGGCCGCCCCCGCCCCCGCCGCCGCCGAGCCGCCGCCCGTGGCCGGAGGGAGGGGCGGCGGACTACCGACGCATTGTCCTCCAGCGGGAACAACAGCGTCAGGTGGGCCAGAAATCGATACGGGAGGGATATCACCAACGGCGGAATCGGGATCGATTGACGAAATCAAAGACCGAATGCAGCCGCAATCAATGGAATGATGATTAATGAACATGAAAAGAGCCAGAAAATGAGAAAAGAACACGACTCGTTTGAATGATGACGGGTAATTTTGGCAATTTGTTAATTGTACCCCGGATTGCAAACATTATTAGCAGCACTATTTTTACACGAAAGTCCGCTTTCACCAGCAAGCTCCTTTGTAGCCTGAGGGCCAGCCACGGCTGTTTTCCCGCTGCGAAAAGTCGAATCGACCCGAGAATCAGCAGCTCATCTACAGACCACCCGCCGTCCAGATTGGATGCTCGAGCTGACAGCTACTGTCTGCGCCCCGCCAGTTCAAGGCCAGGCGGCGTCGGGGGAGAAAAATTGCCAATTTACCATCGGTTTCTCTCAGCGGTTTGTCACTCCTCCCTCTGCAGTGTGTGACGTCACAGCCCTTTACACCATTAGCCGCTGTTCTCAGTGCGGAAATGGAACGGTGCTCGCCACTTCGTTCTTTTCCTGTGTTCTGTGTGTGTCATGGCTTTCACCGCTCCCCTTGGCGCGTGCCAGTGGGGACAGGAACAAGAACCGGCGGGGGAGGGGTCGACAGTGTTACCCTGCGTGACGCGGCATAAGTCCTCCCGTAACGGCCGGGACAGGAAGGAGCCAATCGCGGTGTAACCTCAGCCGTTCGGTGACGACAGGGCGGCGACAGGTCCGGTGTACTACACAGAACGTGACACGACCCGGCGGCTCGGCAGGGACGCGGGCGATGGGCGGTCACGGACCGACCGTGGGGCAGGACCGGAAGAGAGTAGGTCCGGGAGAATGGGGTAGGACCCGAGAAACAGATACGAGCGTTTACTGAGAGCGGACTGAATTCATAATTATGCGGAAGCAGCGGTAAAAACTAGTGCTGACCCAACTAACACTGCCACAAACCTAAAAATAAGCCGACCACTTGGCATCGCACTTTTAGATAATAAAACAGGAAATGTACGAAAAGAAGCGAAAATGACTAAACGTCAGCAGCGAGCAAAGCGAATGCTACAAAACTTCTCCTCAGACAACTAACAGCGGTCATTCCCGGCAACATCCCTCGCCACTAGAGCAGCACACGCGTTTCAGCCTAGTAAACTCGCTTCGCACAGTAAGAGCAGCATTCGTCTTCAAAGCCCGCGGTCCGTCTGACAGTGTTTTGAGGTGTTTGGTGATAAATGGCAGAAAATCAACGAGCGAAACATGGTGGAAGGACGCGAGCGAAAAACAGGCCGGTAAAACTGGGTGGAAATATGCAAGGATGTCCTCTGTCGGACTGAGAGATGGGAGCATGGTCAGAGGAAGGTCAAGACAACTTGGACACCCAGGACGTCTCCTGATCGGATTCGGAAGTAGGCATGGCATGGTGGGAGCTGGGTACATAGCCGGAAGTTGAGGCCCGTGACTGAAGAAAAGTGAGAAATGGACGGAATAGATGAAATTCACCTCGGGGAACGCGAGAGAAGATGGAACTACTGAGACAAAAACAGCCGGACCAAATCGAAACACTACGTAACCGATTTTTCACCGAACTAAAAACAAAACAAACATCACCACCAAACACACACAAACACAAGATTACAAACATCCACGGTTCGACCCCCCCCCCCGTCTGTCCCTCTCGAGATGACCTCCTGACCTACCTGTGACCTCGGCGACCTCTGTGCGGTAGCAGGCCGACGCGGGGTCGTGACTGAGACCGAGGGGGTTCACCAGAATCCGGACCTGCTCCAGACGACTCAGCTCGGAGCGACACGTGGCCAGGATACTCGACTGAAAAACGAACAGAAAGATAGTGATAATCGTGGGTTAAAGGCGCCGTGACAGCACGTAGCGAATTCAAAGACCAATGTGGTTTGAGGGAGAGCAATGTCTCAAAATGAAAACAGGGTCGGAATCACAAGGGGACTGTGGTTAGCTATTTAGCAAAAACAGTGTTTATGCGTCGTGATAAACCACCACCCCGTTTCGCGCTCCCGCTAACAACACTTCAGACTTTGACCAAGTGTTGATAGGGGTAGTAGAAGACGTTTTTGGCCCGATGAAAGTGCTGGTAGACTCCGGGCGTCAAAAAAGTGATAGCACACACAAAGGACGCACTGAGGCGAAATGACACCACAGACGTTCACCAAAGACCCGTTCACCTTCCAACTGAGAAGCGAGTCACGCAACCACAGAAACTCGAGCTAGAAAAACAGAAACTTTAAACTGGTAAATATGGGAAGATTACATAAGACGGTAGGGCAGGTTACAGCCCTTCTATTTGCGACCTTCCACACAGTCAACCGATAGCCGTTTTAATTTCATTCACAGAAACGGAACCAGCTATCAAATAGAAATAGGTACTCTACAGTCTACAGTGGGGCTACTGAGTAACTCAACACCTCCAAACCAAACCAATACCCATAAATCACCAAACGATCTGACCTATAAATCATACCCCACGGCTAAATAGTTTTGGTCAGCTGGAGGTCCAACCCTATCTATTATCGCGCCAGGGGGCACAGCCGGAGAAAGTCCTCACAAACAAACTTTGCAAGTCAGATGGTCCGCCATTTTCCCTCGGACCGGGAACGTGACCTGTGACCCCGGACGAGTGGTGCACGCACTGCCGCCGTCCAATGTGACAGATCCGAGCGCCGTTTTCCTGTCGCGTGACGGACGACTGTCACAGGAAGTTGTTGGTTAGCCGGCTAAACAGCGAAACTGCCACGGCTGTGTCCGTCCCCGCAGCACGGTACCGACGAGGAAATGAAGATTGTGATAACGAACGGGGGACACAGTGCATTCCGCAGGGAAGTCCTGCTGGGTCCAGAATCAGATTGCAGCCATGGTAACGCTCTCCGTTGTTACTGGCATCTGCTTTTCGCAATCGCTCAGTCGGTAACAAGAAAATGTCAATTAACTTCTACCTCTTGAACGAACAACTTTAAGCCAGCGCGTATTTCCTTCCTGTATGCTTCCAAGGGTATGAATTGCGGGGGAGCAACATTCCCTCTTCTTCCATGCGCACATATTTCCCCAAACACCGCGCCCCATGGTCCCAGCTGAGCCCGGCACACAGGATCTCTCTCCGCTCCGCCGCCCGGGGCATTTGTTTACAGCCCTGGCTCCGGCTGCCGGCGGCCGGGCGGGGGCGGGGGCGGGGGCGGGGACGGCATTCCGCCGCCGCCGCCGCCGCCACCCCGGGTCCGGTGCCGTCATCAGATGACGCTCCCCCGCCCCCGCCCCCGCCGGAGCCGCGCTCAGCTGGCGTCATACCCGTGTTCGATCAGCAAAAACTCCGCCGTGGGCCATCGCTGCAGACGGAAACTGTGCTCCGACGAAACAATAAACAAGAACATTATCACCCATCCATCATAAAAAAAACTTATTTAGTATTTCCCTACCCTAAAATTCCCCGACCCTAAACACATCAAATTTCAACTGTTGACCTGCACAGCGCACGGCATGGTCTTGGTCAATGCTCACTATCCAGAACCGGACAACACGGGCCGAGGAGCACGGTGAAAACATCTCCACCCCGCCAGATGCGTCCACCCGTCACTCATCATACGGCGCGTGTCTCAACCGGGTGCCGACGTCTCCCTTCACCACACGGTGACCTAACTAACCCTCCAGCCGGCCAACACCAAACACGACGACTCATCACGAGGCAAACGCAGAGCGAGACGACGGTGATGAGCGTGACGATGGACGGTAGCCAGGCGACCCGGTAGCTTCACAAACGCATACAAACACAGCCAGAGCCGGGCGGCCACGGGAGAGGTGAGGGGTGGGTATTCATGAGGGAGCTGGGAGCCGGCGAGGGCAGAGGGGTCGGTGGGAGAGGGAGGGGATGGGGAGGGAAGGGAGGGTTAAATGGGCGGTTCTGGGTCGGGTGGTAGGATCAACAGTATGGAGGTCATTGACACATGACAGGACGCAAAGGACACTGAAATAGATATATCTCAATGTCGTTCCGACAATAAAACAAAATTCTGAGGTAAAACCTCTAAAATCACGTCACTCCACCGTACCTCACACGAGCTCCACCGTCGCCTGCAGTGCACTCCCAGTCAGCCGAATCTGCCGGCCTCAGCAGCAACAAGGCCTCTCGGAAACAGACAGTCACGACCTCACACACCGTCCACCCTGCTCTCTATAACGCGGCGGATCTCGCAGCACTCTCACTCTCCCGACCGCCGGACCGCAGTACCACCACTGACTGACCACATTCGCCGCCGCCGATCGGCCGGCTGCAGGTAGTTGGAAGTCGGGCGGGCCGGCCGGAGCCGTGACCTTCAAACGGCGACCATCCGCCGGCGCCGCCCGCTCCACCGACCGGCCGGCCCACGCGAGGCCAGTCCGGCCGCCCCCGGCGACAGCGGGCTAATGCCATCTAGTGAGAGGAGGGAGAGGTGCAGCTTCGCGCGATCTGCGCTAGTGGCGAGAGCAGGACCTGCGCTATGACAAACGCTCAGCCACCGAATGATGTTCATGATTCCGTAACTTCGCTTTCCAATGCTCTTAACTTCAATTCTAAATCAAACCTGCTGATAGAAGCGTCCATTCTTTCAACCAAGCTGAAAAATCATCGTTTCAACATTCGTCATTGCCGTCTCCAGGACCAACAGATCCGCATCCCCTCACGCTTCCCTTTCCAGCCTGGCTGTCACCCCCACCAGACAACCGGCGGTGCAGGCAAGTCCTCTTTGGACCACAAAATCTCCAGGGGTGACCGTCTAAGAGGTAGGGCGGACTGACCACTTGGGACATCTCTGTCCCGCCGGGACGCACAGTCGGTGGTACGCACAGTCTACACTCTTCCCTAACCTTTCATAGCCCTGCAATGGACTTTTCAGGACCAAAGAGCCCACTCCCAACAGAACAAAGAATCTCCCGAATGTGGATAGGATGCCCTGCATCCAACTAATGAGGTAAGCAATTTTGAAACATAAAAAGTATGGGGAGACTGGAAATACTACATTCACCAGCGAAACCATGTCCATTGTTCAACACTATATTGAACGTCGTCGCTCTTAGTTCGCCTACTCTTGGGTCGCCTTAACTCCGTTAGGTATTTACTCTCGGGACTTCTTCAGAGGTTCAATGACGGATTGCCAATGAAAATTACCACTTCCCCGGAGCATCGTACTCAGACAAGCCAGTCATTATACAGCACTTTCTCCAAGCAGTTTCAGCTCTCAGCTTTGCACTCAGATGTGCTCATCCAAGTCGGTAGGGTATGTGGGGTTCAGACCTCACAACTAGCGCACAGAGCCTCAACCATCACTACATTTCAACAATAAACACCACAGCTACACTACCACTAGCCCCGTCCCGCTCCGCCCCGTTCAGTACTCACATAGGTGGCGTCCGGATCGGCGGCACGTCGCTCCAGTTCTGCCTGAACCACCGTCAGGTTGTCGCGCGACTCGGCCAGGATCGACTGCAGCTCATCGCAGTCGGAGTCAGAGTCCAGAGAGTCGGTTGGCGCCCGCGGCTGGGGATGGAGAGAGTCGGAGTCAACGGCTGGGGTCACGGTGAATAAATGTTAGGTCGATAAATTAACGATTCATCATCACTACTGTCAGAAATTCATGATATTTTCTGATCGCTGTGAGTCAAACACTGACTAGACAATCAGCACAAAGGCGTTAAACACGTCGCATTCAAAGCTCTTCATCATCTATCCCGCATACTCCTCAATCTATTTTGAAACCCCAACGCCTTCCCCAGCTCTTCCCTTCCCTCCTTTTTCCACCTCTCCAGTAGTACCCACCTTTCTGCGGCTGCGTTTGGCCGGTGACCGTGTGTGACCCCGCACGCTGCTGACTTGTGACGAGGCACAGTCTGAGTGCGAGTCGATGAAGCGGCGGTAGTCGTCACAATCGAGCAGGCGACGGACCGCGTCCGGGTCCACCGAGCCCTCCGAACCCAGCTCCGTCACCTCCTTCAGCTCCTGTGGGGGGTTAGAGGTCAGGTCAGGTCAGGTCGAAGGTCAGGCCAGGTCAAGGGCCAGTCAGGGGTCAGATGTCAGAGGAAGGGCAGAAGTAAAGTAGGAGGATATGTCAGAGCTGGGAGCTAAGAGAAGGTAGAGGTAGTCAGGAAGGATAGCAAATGTTACGAGCGTCACGACAGGTTAGAGGAGCTGACTTGATGAAATCAAGGGATGAAAGTTCATAATGGCAATTGAATGTCACGTTAGGATCGGTGAAAGAATGCAGCAGAGTAAATTAATAGCACATGAACACTGACTGCACCTACCCGGCATCAAATCAAACTCAACCTCCGCTAACTACTCCCTCTCCAATCCCTCCACGTACTCCACACACTCCACTCGGCACTCACCCGATACAGACTAACTAGCACCAGTACGAGCGCAGTCATCTCTCCACACACCTCCTGCCACACCACACCAGCTCTGCCACACCACTGCCCGCGCCGTCCCTCCCTCCCACGCGGCCGGCCAGCCGGCGTCTGTCTGTGCTGGCAACGGACCGCGCGACGCACTGCGCGACGACTGTGCGACACGCGCATCGATTACTGTCGAGGCACGGGCGACGCCAGCGGGTGCTAATTGGGGGGGGGGGGGGAAGTGCCGGTCGCAATGGAACGAGAACGGAAATTTAATATAAAAACAAGTCTAAGCCATTGAGAATGAAACACGCGGCCACACTTAAAAGTATGCTACCGTCATAATAGCAAAAAGCGGAATTTACCGCGGTCTGAGTTGAGCCTCGCTTATAACAGCAATCACCACCGGCAGTCCTCACTCCCCCCCCCCCCCACCGTAGTGGAACTAATGAGCCACACCGGATGCAGTCAGCGATGTGGAACGGGGGTGATCTGCTTCCCTGGAACTCCCCAAAACTGCCCACTGAGACCGCCCCTGCCGATTCACTGGAAACTAGTTACCGGTGCTGGAAGCCCATCAGGGCTCCATTAGCTCGTGGAAAATAGACGAGAGATTAAAGGAAAAGGGTCACCTTTAACATGGGGTTTGAAACTGAGATGGCCATCTTGTAGCCCGTGTCCGAAAACCCCGAGAGTATCCCACCTTACGGCCGATTTCGGCCTCCATTTGTAGGTATCGGCAATTTTAAAAGAAAATATGCCAGGAATGCGTCCTTATCCCAGGAATGCGTTCTTATCCTGTAATACAGCCACCCGCGGCGAGGCTTTGGTTTTTAACCAATCAGCTCCAATCAGCTCAGCTTTAACCAATCAGCTAATCTGACACAAGCCGACGAGACTGTGTTCTGAAGGCTGATTGGCTTGAGTGTGATGTCATCGCTATGACATCATACAGAAGGTGCGGTAGAGTACAAACATAGTACCAATATGTTAAATAGTTTGACATACTTTTTTGCGAATTATGCACTTCTAACACCAGATTTAAAAAGAACATGAAAAATAATAATGTCAAAATGAAAAACAACGATATCTTCATATTTCACGAAGGTGGCACTTTTCCTTTAATGAGCCCTGACTCAAAGTGTTGCAGATTAATTTAAATGCTTCATTCGAGGAGGTGTTGTGGTTAAAAGACCACGTGGCTACAGACACACACGTGGTCTCCGTTTTTTCTCCTTGGGCGGAGGTCAGAAGGCGGGGACGGGACGGCTGTATTTAGACAGACCGGATGTCGAGCTATCTGACACAGGATATCTCGCCGCAGAAACTCGATTTGATACCACAGGACGACGGCTGGCTCAGGCTTGACCTCGTCGTGGATCATGTGATAGAGATGTTCTCAACGAACAAAACTCGAGGAATATTGAGTGGTGTCAAAGGGAATGACGCGTTTTGATAGTTCATGATGCGTGTCGCACGTCCTATGCATTTATTGACGTAAATGTGCTGCTCGAATTGATTACGTTATAACGACGGGTCGTTATGCACTATGTTATAATAGTCCTTTATCGTAAAAAGCAAACGAGAAGAGCTCTCATGGTGCTGAGCTGCAGCATAAGTAGGCAAACGATAATGTCTTCAGAGTTTCTCCAGTCAAATGACCTGGACTCATTTCAAAGCCACAAACCGCATTCATGTGACTTCATTCACCGCCTAACACGCCTTTGTCATGAGCTCTTATTTGTTCAAACACCTCTAACGCAAGGTGAAACTACACCACTACAATCTGACAATACCATAATTGGAGCATCAGTCAAAAACAAATCAACCTCGAACCGCAACAGCCTATTGAAGCTCGGTTCGCTCCAGCAGAGACGCACGCGTCAAACAATAGTCAATACACAGCTCGGCCACCGACATACCACAGGTTCAGTGGGACGATGGGGACTGATGTGGAGCGTAATAACTTTGTTCAACGCATGTATCGACACCATTGTTATGCGTATTGTGGTGAGAGTCAGGAATGTGGTTTTGTTTGTTTGAAATACAACACCACATGTCTCAAGGCTGTAAAAAGCAGAACATGCTTTCGTGCGTATTGTTACTCCAGAAGATATAAGATGGCTGATGCTTAGTAAAAGCTGACTGACATGATCTTTCCTCTCAAAAACCTTTCGATGAACTTTCAAAAATCTATCCCTCAACTCAAACTCCACCACCTGACCATCACCCAACTCCCCTCCGCGCGCCGTCGTCGCCCCGTGCGGTGTCGCCACCTACCTGGTACGTGTCCCAGGCCTGCTCCGACACGGAGCTGACCTCCTCCGGTGGGTCGCGGGGCGAGGCGTCCGACACCGTGCGAGGGGAGACCTCCACCTCGACCAGGGTGGCCTCCGTCGTACAGGACAGCATCGAACTCCGGTGAGATTCTGGGGAAGGGGAGAGAATACATGAGCGAGTGGATCGCGATATACACGTAATGCGTAACAGTTACCGAGCAGTTTACAATTCAGTAGAAGGAAACAGTGACTTCTGCGAGACCGCTATGCCTCAAGCACACGACAATCGAGGTTTCATTGCTTTTTTCTTTATGGTACTGATAATCTCAAACTGATCTCATACGCTACCTACCTTAGAATCTGTCGACGGGCCCCTTTCCGACCCCATCTGTTCCACCTTTCCCGATCAATGTGTATACCTAGCCCTCACGTGGCAAGAGCAAACAGCGCAATCTGGCGTTGCTTGATTACCCGCTATCGGGACCTATCCCTTCTCTCTCGCTCTCCCCTACAACGGCGCCATATACTGTGCGGTTCAAACACTGATAGGGAGTCAACAGTGCAGTGTTGACATTAGAGCAGGGGCCGCAATACGGACCATTGTGTGCAAGACTGTGTGCTTTAGGCAACAAAAACCACGTGGAATATTATACAGGGGACTGGAACACTATGGCGCCTGGCTTATCTTATCGTTTATCTTCGCCTGTCAAATCAAACAGTCACCAGCCTCTCTTACATTCAGCAAACAAGATCATGCACTTTCCTCTCATAACTTTCCCATCTAACCCTTTGTTACCCTCCTCTTCTCTCCCTTTCTCACCAGCGGCGGACATTCCAGGAACCCTGCCTCGCTCGCCCTCGCTGCCCGAGGAGCGGAGACTGCGGCGGCGCCGGTGGGTCGGGGATGACCCGGAGCCCTCGCTGCCCGAGCTGCGAGTGGCCGAGTGACGGTGCGGACGGGAGCGGCGCCGGGCGCCCCAGAACGGCGAGTCGAACGAGGCAGAGTTGGGCAGCATCTTGGGCACGGCGCCGGCTGACACGGTGGTGTTGCTGGAACTGGAGGGGGGCGAGGGGGGGGGGTTAGTGGGGACAGGTGGAGAAAGGGAGGACAGAGAAAGGGATGGAGGGCACACAGAAAGAGGAAAACTAACAGTAGTCATCGAAAGACTAGGGTGTTCCCGGCATCATACAACATTGTAAAAAAGTGTCATAACGGTCCCAAAGCCGACTCCAAAACAGGGGAAAATAAAATGAGTCATCATACTTCGACGAATATGATGAGCCAGGAACGAGCGGATAAAACAAGATGTTACCCGTGAAACAATCGGCACTTGATACGCTGCTGAAGTAGCACCTCGAGTTTCTTTGTTAGCCAGTACACGAACACAAAATCACACCCATCAAATGCATCGTTGATGTGTCAGACGCGGCCTGACATGACCTAACAACGCCATGGTAAGACAGGTGTTACACGTCAAATAAGTGTGATTTAACAGGTGTTCTATCATACGATCAAAGCTGGATAACAATGTAAGCTATTGCAGCAAGAAAGAATTAAGAACATAAATGTTGGTAAATGTTAGGGATATTGTGGATGACGAAATAAGCAGATTATTATTACGAGATCACTAAAAGGTTATACAAAGAAATGTCATGTTACGAATAACGTCACGAAGAGATCACCAAATATTTACAACATGACTACAAGAACACAAATCCACATATAACACTCGCTCCCCTAGGCAGTAATTCCCACCCCTCTAGCCTCACCTCGAAGTGACTCCCTTCTCGTTGGTGGGTGTCAGCATCTCATTGAGGGCCGTCTCGGACACGGACAGAGCCGCCGGACGCAGCCGGCCGGCCGACGTCAGGCCGTGCAGACTCCACGGACGCTCGTTGGAGCGGCGCTTCTTACTCCGGAGAACGACCTGAAGGAAGGGAAGTCAGGTCAGGTCAGGTCAAACTGGGGCTGGTGATACAATGGCTGGTGAACAGCAATGACACAATGAGATCAGAAGCAATGTGAATTGTGGATATATCTTTTTTTGTCTATGAATTTTTAGTCACGATGACACGGAGCTGCTAAAATAAAGTCATCAAAATGTATAACTCCATCTTACAAATCACTCAAAAACCTCCCGACCACCTGATGAAACTACGTTCCGTTCCAACATCAACACCGAAAAGCGACGACAGAGAAGCTTAATTAATCAGACGAAAAGAACTCATAAATGTCACCGTCCCTGCACATAGATGTCACACACATGTCAGCGATAAAACAGCACTCACCACACCCTCTTTTTCATTTCTCAGCTCATTACGAATAAACCCAAAGCACCTATAAAATCCTAGCCATACACGCAATGTCCCCACCCCCACCCCAACCTCCTCCTTGCCTTGGGCGTGGTCGTCATATCCAGGAGTGCGGGGCCGGCTGCCGGCGGACTGGCGCCGGCGGTGGGCGTGGCCAGCTCGTGGCACGTGATCATGCTGCAGGTGAGGTCCTCAGAGGCCGAGGAGGCTCCCTCGTCTCCGTCCGACTCGCCGGTGGTGTACTCGCCGCTGGCATCGCAGCTGCTGTCCGTCACCTGGGGGTGAGAGGGAGAGCGGAGCGTCAGATAGGCGAGTCAGAAAACACAGGCAACCAATGAACCAGCAAATGAAGCAGTCAGTAGTTGTAGCTAGCAAACGAGCCAGTGCACAAACGACAAGTTTCCCACTAAACGAATTGGTAACCAGTGTATGCTCCCATATATCAGAGTCATAAACCACTTCTTCGCTGTCTTTGGCAAGTGAAAAGAGATTAAAAGTCACAACAAATTAAGGCAAAAGATAAACTGGTGAGAAAGAACGAAAGTCAGACCAGTGGAAGAGCCGCACAGCCGGCGGATTGTTTTCCCTCGCGGCCGGCCCATATTTCAGACCGTGTTGGCGGCCTGTCCAGCTGCCTGGAAGCCCTGATCGATGGGCTGGTTCGATCGCATTTAACTGCCCGGTCAGCGAACCCAGGACCGTCCAGCGGAGCCCGGATGGGGGTTTGTGATGGTTGGAGACGCTTCAAGGGAACCGACTGGAAGGAGAGCTAAATATTAAGCAATAAATGAACACATGGCACAGAAACTTCAAGGGATGCAGACTAAGCCCTCGGCCCACTCCGGAAACATTCAGGAAGCGACTGGCCCAGATTTGCGTCACCGATTCACCGGCGCAGCTGTGTTCCGGCGGTAGATAGTGACGGCGGAAGCGGCGTCACATCCGACAAACGCCCACAGAGCCACCGCGCCGTCTGATACGGCTAACCACTGCGCACAGGGCCTGGTGCGAAATGCTGAAAAATTCACTGGGTCACCCAGCATGAAGGCTATATGCTGGGTGAATAACTACCACACAGGGCGTGAAACGTCCCGTTTTTGTTTCAGGGGACAATAAATGTTAGCAATTTTGTCAAAGAACCGCCACGGCGTGCGTGCTCTTCTCCACGTGAATGGAGCTGACGTTCATCCCATGATAGACGGTGGCGGGTGCGGTGGAAAGGAATGTGCAGGTCTGGTGACCATCTGCGTGTGGCCAGCAGCCAAAAATCGCTGGCCAGCGACGCCGTTTAACGCACAGATGACTGCCAAGTAGTGATCGAAGACGGGCCACAAACACAATATAGCGAAAAATGATCCCTGCAAAAATCATTAAATTGGGCACGGATTAATTATGAAATACGCTCAAAACAAACAAGCGCATATTTTCTGGAGGCTTTCTGGAGGTGCTGCATCGATTCTGCCATGTCCAAAGAAGTCCTGCCACGGCTGAAGCCACGAATTCAGCTGAACATCATCCATGACGGCGAACTGCCAGGCGAGGATGAAAAATTAACATGCAAATTACCCACGGCTGAAGCTAGTCGAAATATTTTTAAAAAGTGAATGATAAATAATAACCACCTGCAATCTGCAGCATGCAGCCATGCATCGGAGTAGTTCGGCTGATTATGCTATAATAATCCAGGTGCACGGGGTCCAGCGTCCACCTCGGCCGCCGTGCAACACCCACTCAGCCCAGTAACCGGGCATGAGAGGGGGATGGGGTCAGCGGGTCCGCTGGAGCCGGCTGGACGGCGTTCACGGCTCTGTTCCAGGCCCAAACAGCCTATACGGCAGCAGCTGCCCATACTACGTCGACCGGCCGGCCTTGGTTTCCAGAGTCCAGTCGCGCCGGCCGGCCGGCCAGTCGCGGTCCGCCGCGGCGGACGCGCCGGCGCGCCGGCCAGCCGTCCGTCAATCAACCGCCCCGCGCTCGGCGCGGCCGGCGGGGGGCAGGGGTCGAGGGGCGGGGGTCTCCCTAGCCAGCCAACCCCCACCCTTTCCCGACCAGCTCCGTGATGACACGAACCGCCGTCGCTGAGACGAAGCGCCTGCCGACGGACGTCGGGACGGCGCCGGTGACCGGTCGACGGTCCGCCAGCAATGAGTCACCCACAACAGGTGGCCAGGCGACCGACGCCGATCGCGCGGGTTCGACTGGCGCCAGGGTCCGACAGTGATATTGGAGCAGAGCTCGTGGACAAGCCTAGCCAGAAGGTTAAAGAGAGAAAAGCTCGGCAAGACTTGCATTTGAAGATGAGGGATCATGGTTCACTTGGTGCACTTGAAGAACAAAGCGATAATTAGCCGACATTTTAATCCTGACGCTCATCCGGCAAGAGTGCGCAATTCTTTTAGATTGAAGTCATTTCAGCATATTGCGAGCTTACGTCTAGCTTAGATAGGATCATTATTCATTAATCATTTCTAATTTTAGTCGGACAGATGCGCAACAAGAAAGTCCCAGCAACACCCCATATGCTGGTGAAAAGTCTATTCCATATGGTGCTGCCTGCCAGTCATGGTTAGAAATAGTCATCAAATTCGCCGACCGACTTGTCTGACAGAAGGAAAAATCAGCCGGCAAGTTTCCCGACCTAACCACACCCCACACTACCAACTTCCCGTAACAACTTGCCCTCTATGATTACAGCAGCAGCCAACATTTCTGACATCACACCACGCCTCGTGAGCCCGCGCCAAGGCCATACAAACCAAACCACTGCCTGACGGGCTGTGTAAACCAAACTAACCATCAGGCGTCCCGCCGCGCCGCCAGCGGCAGTCGGGCGGAGGCAAACTGACACCACATGTGCTTTGGGATGACTAAGCGCGCAGCGGCTGGGCAATGGCACTGCATTTCAAACGCTGGACATGAAGCGTTGCATTGACGATGGATGTCACGTCAAGAAAAAATCACGTCAGGTCACCGACATAGCGTCACGCAGCGGTGAGAGAGAGGTCGTCCACGTTTCGGCTTTTAGTCTGTGTACGACTTCTGAGCTCGTCTCGCGTGTAGCTGCTGACAGTATCGACGGCTACATAAGCCGTTACTCGCGCGCAACGACAGTAGCGGCAGCAACGGTTTTCTGTCCGCGAGGCTAACAGTTCCACCAGCCCCTGTCGTTATAGCAGTCCGACAGTCACGACTCAGAACTCACGACTCACGAGCCACGACCGTGTCTGAGCTCCAACACCCCGCTCACGAACTCACACGGGTACGCAGCCGCCAGACCTCAGACGCCATGCTGGTCAGCTTTGGACCAGAATGACGTCACGTCCAACGAACGAACGACCATCTAGTCTCCAAGTCCGTCTTCCTTGGGACCGGTTTGCGCACGCTTTAATATCGTGATTGCCATGATTCACCACAGGGAGTGTCCAGGGCGCCACTCAAAACTCAGTCAAAACAGAGTCCGCATTCAAAATAAATCGCACACTCACAGACATCACAAAAAGCACTACGCTACGCATCACACCCCAGCACAAATGCATCCTCATCAAGACATCCAACGAGACACAGACAAAAGCACTTCTGTCCACCACCACCTTCGCCAATCACGACGCATCCTTCACACTACACCGCACCCTCAACACGACCCGAGCCACTATCCGCACGAACCCACTAGACACACCACTAGCAGTCATCGGAGACGAGTTGGCGTCCCAGGGCGTCAGCTCAATTCGTCGACTGGCTTCCACCCACCACTACACCATCCTGCAACTCACCTTTAACACCACGATCCTACCTCCTCACGTTACACTACAACACTGCCGATACAGCACACGTCTTCACGCGCCACTGCCCCTTCGCTGCAAGAAGTGTCAGCGCTACGGTCACGGAGAACGTGCTTGCACCTCCCGTACTGCACGCTGTGCACGTTGTGGCGAGGGGCATCCGTCAGAGGGGTGCACTCGTCCCTTTCGATGCGCTGCCTGTGACGGATCGCACCCGGTCACTGACTCCAAATGCCCTAAGTGGCTATTTGAGCGGGAAGTGACCAGGTACGCGGCGAGCATGCATGTACCACCAGCCCTTTCACGCACCCTGGTCTCCAAGGCACCACCAGTACATCTAGCCGAAACATTTAAACACGCAAACGTAACAGGAAGCACCTACGCCTCAGTCGCTTCACGCACCACCGCAAAACTCCAGCCACTAGCACAGCACCCACCGAGCTGTCGCCGACCTGCCCTCATCCCAACACCTCCTCACCCACCTCGCTGGATCCCCACCAGGGAGGCCCTCCTTCCTACACCGCCCTATCCGCCTCACCCCAGACCGCCACAGGGATGGAGAGTGCCCGGTCCGCTGCCGGGACCCCCGTTCTTGAGGCGGGACTTCCCGCTCCTACCTCCACCTCCACACTGTATACCTCCCACCCACCCTAACCAGCCTCCGCCCACCCGACCCAAGCCTCCAACCCGCACCACTGCAACCTCCACCGGCCCCCCACCAATCACCCAGACCGTCTCCACTTCCACAGACCCTCCTCCTCCACCCACTCTGCGGTCTGTTTACACGCAGACTGACCCTGATCCCCATCCATGCTCTCAGAGCAGCTCCAGCCTATACATCACTCCCTCCAACCCCTCAACCCGATCATCCGCTTCGAACCCAAGTTCAGGCCCAGCCTCAAACACACGGATCCCTCGTCCCATCTCGCCTCCAAAACACGTCCGCTCACGCTCTTTATCTCCCGTTCAGCGAAACATCGAATCCCTCCACCAACCTCTTCCCTCCCCTCTCATGACACGCGCCTCCCGCAAACGAAAGGCGAGGGATCTGGCTGACCAATCCAACCCTACTCCAGTCTCGCACTATGTGTCAGAGACTACTCATATCAACAGCGCAGTTCCCTCTAAATGACGCACTTGCTACAATGGAACACACGCGGGCTACTTACCAAGTGGCCGGAGTTCAAAGGTGAAATTCTCCGAACGAACCCGGTCCTGGCTGCACTCCAAGAGACCCATTTTCGAGATTCAGACCAATGGTTTAAAATCCCAGGGTACACTTGGCATACACATAACGTTAACGAACAAAACAGACGAGGAGGAGCGGCCATCCTCATAGCCAACAGCGTCCCGCACAATAGAGTAGCTATCAACACACCACTCAATTGCGTTGCTATACGTTTAAGGATAGGCTACACACAAGTCACCACACTGTCAATATACATACCACCTTGCCATGCAAACCCAACACCACAGGAGCTGGATGACTTAATCAG